AAAAGAGTATGATTATTAATAAAACCAGTCTCTAAAACTCATAGGTCGGGGGCCTGGTGGAGGCCTACAGGAAGGCTTTCCCGACAGGAGAGGAGGGGGGACTGAGGGAGTTCCCCTCGCGTCACTTCCCGGTTTTTACATTGAATCCATAAAACCAGTGGGGCAAGTAAAAGCAGATAAAAGCAGGATAGAAGCCGATGTTTTGTCCTTGGAGAACCGTACAGACGGTGGTGACTGGCTGTCTTCAGTGTGCACACTTTGAACGCTGTCACTCACCGTATTTCTTTGGTCTTTGCTGCCGGTCTCCTTCGGTGATGTTATGAAGTTTATCTGCTTAAAATCCACTGTGGAAGCTGTTAAAACTACGCTGTGAGATGAAAACGGTTTAAAAACAGTCCTCAGTCCTTAAAAAGTCACTTTAAAAAGGTTGTCATAAACCAAATAAAACAAATTAAAAGTGGAATAAAAGAGGTCCTCAACGTTTCGCCATAACTGGCTTCTTCAAGAGGGTGTGGTCAAGGGCCACCCTCTCATATGGTCTTGACACCAGCGTTGTTTGAAGGGAAGCACAAGGGGTGGGACCCGGAGTCTTCCGGGATTCACAAGTCTGCACACTGTCTACACCACTGTTTTACATCACTAAACCACCCCAACCGAAAGAAATGATCCTTCACCTTCCCCTGCATTTTATTGACTCCTAGGTGACCCCCAGTGGGAGTATTGTGCAACTGGGTCAGGACTTTGGGAACCATGGCCCTGGGGGAGAACAACCTGTCCATATGGCGCAGCATCTAAATTAGCAGGAGGGACTCTGACCAGGCGTGAATCTCTCATCTGCAATTGTGACCACACCTGAGCATACTTTTGGAGGGCTGAATCTTCAGTGAGGTCCAGCCCCTGCGTTTTGTAGTAAATCAACTGCTGTAGAACTACATCCTCGGCCTGTGCTCTTGCTATATCATCGTCATCACACTCTTTACCTGACTGCACTCTCAGCTTCCCCTCCTACACAGCACACACACTTGAATTTTGGAAGTGCTGCCCCCCCAGTGACATCTTCTTGCTGGCTAACACCAACAAAAGCATGCAACCTAGAAAGGGCATTGGCATTAGCATGTGCTTTCCCAGGTCTATGGATGATTTTATATTGGAAACTGGCCAATTGCTATACCCACCTAGCCAGCTGTCCCTCCAAACCCTGAAAGTTGTGTAACCACCTGAGAGAGTTATGGTCAGTACGCAATATAAACTCCTTCCCCAACAGGTAGTGCTTAAAGTACTTGGAAGTTACCATGCTTAACAGCTCCTTATTAGTGGTAGCATACTTCCTTTTCTGCTTGGTTAAAGCTCTGCTGGCGTATGCTACAACATACTCAACACCGTTACTCTCCTGTGACAGGACTGCACCAATGCCTGCATCACTGGCATCTGTGTCCAAAATAAAAGGTCTTGTGGGGTCTGGGTAGGCTAGTACTGGGGCAGATATTAACCTAGCCTTCAGTTGCTCAAAAGCATTGTGGCAAGAGTCTGACCACTTAAAACGCCTACCTTTCTCAGTCAACTGATGTAGGGGCCGTGCTATTTCTGCAAACCCCTTTATGTAGGAGGCTAAGCCTACAAAACTTCTCACTTCTGTTTGGTTTTTAGGTACTGGCCACTCTTTTACTGCCTGAACTTTCGCTGGATCTGCCCCAACCCCTTCTGCTGAAATTATGTGACCGAGGTACTGCACCTGTGTTGAATATAAGTTACACTTAGAGGGCAGTTGGCCCACTGTACCCGCCCCCTTTAGTTTCCCGACACATAAGGGCAGTCACGGCGCAGGTGTCGGTCACACTCACACTCCCAACACACACCTGTTCGATTACGAGTTCTCTGCCAAGGTACATCAGCAGGGGGGACTCTAGCTTCAGCACTAGGATGCTTAAAAGGGCTCTGGGAGGAACTAGAAGGGGCTACTGTCTTTGGGGGCAACTGCAGTATCTGTATGGCTGACTGCGTTGCCTTAACTTCCTGGCGCAGGCCCTCTACTGCCCCTAATAAAGCCTCAAAACGGTCATCAGTCCTGCTGCTCTCCATGACCTCCCTTACTCTCACATCAGGAACAGTGTGAACCTTCTCTAAGTTCCTTAGGAGCTCCATTTCAGCAGCCAAGTGGATTGCGGACTCTAATGTTTTAGGTCTTGCGGTACGGAGGCTAATGCAAAAATCACCAGCAGTGAAATGAGTGACAAATTGATCCCTGGCTAACATATCTCAAGTCTGGTCATCTACAGAGGGATAAGCTTTTACAACAAGCCTACGCAAAGCATTGCCAAACTTCTGAGCTGTTTCATTTGGTAGCCCTGGGCGGCAGTAGCTCAGTCTGTAGGGACCTAGGTTGGGAACCGGAGGGTCGCCGGCTAGGGGCTAGGGGCTAGGGGCTCAGGAGCGCCCACTGTGGGCAGCTCCGTCACTCTGACATCTCTCCATTAGTGCATGTCCATAGGATCTTGTTTGTGCAAGACTTACAGTGTAAAAACTGAAATTTCCCCTTGCGGGGATCAATAAAAGTAAATCTTAATCTTAATCTTCTTCTTTCGGAAAAAGCAACCCCACTCATCACTATGACATGGCTTCAGACATCTAGTCATAGCTGCTTTTAACAGGGCATAGTTACCTTTGGCTTCGACAGACACACCATTAAACATCTCAAGGGCATGCACAGAAAGCAACAAGGACATAAATTTAAGCTTAACAGATTCATCCCAGCCATTTACGGTTGCTGCTCAAATTGTTCAACCAATCACATCATTCCCAACCCACCCTGTCGAAAAAACAACTCTTCTATCTAACTATCTTCAGTGCCGCAACACTAAAAGTCACGGCCAGCACACGTATCCCCTTATCGTTTTTAGTGCCAAAGCCACAGCCCCAGACCACAGCCGTTCCGTCCGTCCCTCTCCCCTGACCTCCACACAATGCCTCTCTTCATAACAATCCTGGCGCTCCCCAACTCCCCACACAGGTGAGAGTCATCAGCTCATTAGTTCAATAGTTCTCCAATCTACAGAATCTCTGCCCCACAAGTGTCCGCAGGGAGCCAATTACCCTCCCCCGACATTGTTTTACTACAGTACTTAGGAGCACGTTTCAGTCCATTTGGAGTTGATTGGTACATAGTTTGGAGTACACTTTTTGTGAGTGGACTTGTGTACTTGGTGAGTCTGGCAACACACCCCGACTGGTTAGGTTTAGTAAAAAGGGTGTGGGAGAGGTTAGAATAGGGTTAGGGTTAGGATAAGGGATGAAAACCACCCATTCTTAGACTTAGACTTAGACTTTCTTTATTGTCATTCAAACTTGTACTTTACAGTGCAGATAAGAACGAAATTTCGTTGCATTTGGCCCGTTGTAGTGCAGGATAAAAACAGCAGCATGTATTTACATATAAAAAATAAAAATAAGGTGCAGATATAAATAGATATAAAAAGAAAAACTATGAGTAAAAATACTATACAGATAAATATATTGCACGTTATATTGTGTTTTACAGTCCAGTGAGGTAGTCCTGTGTGGGGGTTTGAGGGGGAATGGAGGGATTATTTTTTCGTGTTCAAAAGTCTTATGGCCTGTGGGAAGAAGCTGTTACAGAACCTGGAAGTTCTGCTTCGGAGGCTGCGGAACCTCTTTCCAGAGTCCAGCAGTGAAAACAGTCCTTGGTGGGGGTGGGAGGTGTCTCTGCTGATTTTCTGAGCCCTGGTCAGACAGCGGATCTTTGCGATTTCCTGGATGGGAGGAAGTGGAGTCTTAATGATCTTATGGATCTTGTCTTGTCTGATTGTTGAATAACTTTTGATAGGAAGGTTGGATCGATTCGAAACATTCAATGACCACCATAGAAATGAATGGAGCATCGGAAATGGTAAAAATGCATTAAGTGTTTTGGTCAAAATTGTTCATAGGGTAGGGTTAGGGTAAGGGGTTAGGGTTAGGATAAGGGATAACAACCACCTGTCTATGTCTGATTGTTGAATAATAAGGTCGAAACCAAGATTCCCCCCCCCCCCCCCCCACCGGCTTTCCAACGGTACCACCCAGGAGTCTCTACGAGATCGGGAAGTCGGCCTATTCGATTTCTTCTTGATTGTGATCCGTCTTTTAAATCTCGACAAACTCCCCTCTAAACTCAAGGTGAAGATTTATAATAGAAATAAATCCTGCTGTTCCCTCAGAGGAAACTTCTAGTTTCATCAACCTTTCTTCTTTTGTTGGATTATGGAGATGTGCTGTATACGGGCGCCATGGCCAAATGTTGACAGTCATTGGACGCCATGTATCACGCTTCACTGTGACCCCTACACTCCATCTGATTGGCCCTCCTTGAAGGTGCGCAGGTACTTACACTGAGTCTTCTTTATAAAGTACTTATTTATGTTCAGACCCTCAAAGAACCAGAAGATGTGTTTCTGGGATGTTTTCAAGGAGGGAAAGAGAGTTCTCATTTCGCTTGAAGCCTTTGGCTCGATCTTAAAAGATAAAAAACGCGAGACCATTGGACAGAGCCTGAAGTGTTTCTGAATTATAATCTGTGATCATGACTGCACTTTATCTGTGAACTCATGAGCACATTGTAATCGTTGATTTCTCTTAACTTTAGTTTGTAAACTCTGTCTTTATCATATTTATTATGACGTGTGCTGCTGCTGATCTTGACCTCAATGGGTTATTACCTGGTTAAATAAAAAATAAAATCTATATATTAAATAATAGATATGCTCTCTATGTTAGAACGGATATATTTAAGTCTATGATTTATAATCTAGATAATCGCAAAGACTTTTATACTTTCTTTAAAAATCAAAGCACACTTTATGATCCTTCTTTTTTTTTTAATTGCAGGTCCAAAGACTGGATTGTAAAACTGATTACGTTTGTGTACACTGACAGACATCCTAGCAGACCAATGACAGAGAAGATTGAGGCTGGGGGCGGGACTAAAAGCTCCGGCGAAGGCTGGGTGTCGCCTGACCGGATGATGACAGAAGTTTGCGGTTGACCACGGAGAGACTTTTATCCCTGTTATTCAGCTTGTAAGCTCTCGGGGACTCGGGTTGCAGCTCACACTCTGTATTTGTTTGAGTTTTTGATGATTTAAGTCTAAAGGGGGTCCGACAGACTGCTGCGGGAACTTTCTGTCTGCTGGAACAGAGACCCTCTGGCTCTCATTTGCCCCGGTTGGAGGGCAGGAAAGAGCCCACTGGGCTGACCGAGGTGCCGCGATGGGAAACCGGGGAATGGAAGACCTCATTCCGCTTATCAACAAGCTGCAGGACGCGTTCAGCTCCATCGGACAGAGCTGTAACTTGGACCTGCCTCAGATAGCGGTCGTCGGCGGACAGAGCGCTGGGAAGAGCTCGGTGTTGGAGAATTTCGTTGGGAGGTTGTATGCTTTATCTGTCGTTTCGGATGAATGTGACGTTTGAGTGATTTTTAATGGCATTTTTATTTTATCTTTTACTATAACTTCTTTTGAGACTCACGACGTCAAGCTTTTCCGTGAAGACGCCAACTAAGCACTTCGTTACGCGCTGTGTGACGCTGCCTCCCCGTTTCCAACCTTTTCTTTTTTTTTTTTTCATTATGAGCCCAGCTATTCACAATGTACTGTCATTACGCCCTTTACGTAAGAAAACAGCTGTTTGCTTTATTACGGGGACAAAAAGGTTTGAAAGGTGTTTCAAGAGTAGTTTCATCTGGAGCTCTTCATCCGGGATCTTCACTGATGTGCAGCTCGTATTCTGTCAAACATTTATGAAGGCTGCTTTCTCAGGCTGGTAAAGACTTTCTATGAGCATTGTGTTTCAAAGGTCAGGTCAATGTTTTACTTTGAAGGAGAAGTTTGCAGCTTTTTATGAGGTCATCTTGAGATGGAGGAGTGGAGAGTCACAACGAAAATACAAGTGAAATCAGCTGAAAGTCTTTTGGAGGATGATGAATGAGTCTGAAGGAATTTGAATGAGTCCTTGTTGGTGACTAATGGCTGCTAACAAAGCCACATTCTGCCATATGTTAGGATCTCGGGTGTGTATCACATCATCTTTGGTTTTCAAGCAACACAGAAAGAGTGTTTGAGGAAACAAGGAATGAGTAAAAGACATGACTGAGGCCTAATCTGCCAAAGATGGAAGAGCTGCTCAGCTTTGTGTGACGGTGCCAGTAAAGGGACTACTTTCCTCTCATAGGTGTCCAATGATTTCACTGGTTGTGCGTGAACGACAGACGATTAAGCTACGTCTCCTTTCTTTCTCTTTCCTGCTGCCTTTTGTCTCTGAGTCCCGAGCAGTGGCTGGAGAAGACAGTAGAGGCATTGATGTGTTGATGCTGGGGTCATCAGTGATGTCACCAGCTGCACTGCCATGTGTATATCACACACACACACACACACACACACACACACACACACACACACACACACACACACACACACACACACACACACACACACACACACACACACACACACAGCGACCCCTAAAACATGGCAGGAGTTTCAGCGGAGAGGGTACACGATGATTTTCAGGGTAGAAAAGATGGAGGAGATCTAAAATGATGATCCCCTTCATCAGTCTGGCATTTTTCTTCAAATTTTCCTTTTGTTTGAATTTGACAGACACTTCTCGAGTACTTACGCTATCAATGTAAATAATGTGTAGTCATAAAATAATTATATTAAAAGTCAAACATTTCTACTCATGCCATATATCATACCTCAAAAGACCCCCCCCCCCCCCCCCCGCAGTTGGTTCCATCCAAAATTAGAGATGAGTGCAGCAGGTACGCTCCAACAGACCAAGCAGCAGGTATCATTGAGGTGGCAAAGATCAAATCCTTCAAAAGTTAAAATGTGTAAACAGGAAATATTAAATTATAAATATGTCAGCACAATCTAAAGATATTAGCCTTCCTTATATTCAGCCCTCAGTTATGTCTTGTATAACGTTGTATCGTTTGGTATCTAAAAGGAGATCTCAGAGGTGCATGGATCTTTCGACTTTGAGCGAATGGCTTGATCATTTTCTGAACAGAATGTCATCAGTGATAGGTAGCAAACAACTGATTTTAAATGATAATTCCCTGTCAGGATGCAGAGGAACTGGCCCTCCTGACCAGTCTGTTCAGTCTCTTCCTGTCTCTCTCTGTGCTCCCTCCTCCTCAGCAGACCACTGCATAGAAAAGTGTAGACGCCACCACAGTGTCATAAAAAGTCTGTATCAGAGTCCTGCATACTCCAAAGGACCTCAGTCGCCTCAGCAGGTGTAGTTGACATTGGCCCTTCTTGTACAGAACGTCTGTATTGTGTGACTAGTCCAGTTTATTGTTGAGGTGAACACCCAGGTATTTGTTTACCCTCTCGATGTCCGAGCCCTGGATGTTCACTGGTGCAGTCTGGGAAGTCAATCACCATCTCCTTTGTCTTGCTGGCATTGAGCTGAAGGTGGTTGAGCTCACTCCAGTCGACAAAGTCCATGATGACCTGCCTGTACTCCTGTTCGCTCCCCTTAGACACACACCCCACGATGGCTGTGTCATCAGAGAACTTCTGCAGGTCGCAGCTCCCAGAGTTGTAACAGAAGTCCGAGGTGTACAGGGTGAAGAGAAAGGAGGAGAGAACTGTCCCCTGCGGGGCCCCTGTACTGCAGACCACCATGTCAGACTCACAGTCCTGAAGCCTCACGTACTGTGGTCTGTTTGTAGGTAGTCCGTTGTCCATGCAGCCAGGTGACAGTCTACTCCCGCCCTTTATAGCTTCCCCCTGAGCAGTGCAGTGGGAGCGATGTTCTCCAGTTGAGTCAGGGATCTGTACAGCAGGTAGATTACAGCCTCATCTACCCCGATTCCTGGATAGTAGGTAAAATGCAGGGAATCCAAACTTGAACTCACCAGGGGCCAGAGGTTATTTAGAATAATCCTCTCCATGGTCTTCATCAGGTGAGAGGTTAGGGCCAAAGGTCTGAAGTGGCTCCTTAGGGTAAGATGTCTTGGGAACTGGAACCACGAAGGAAGTCTTCCACAGAGTCAGCTTCTTCTCCAGACTCAGGCTCAGTCTGAAGATGTGCAGAAGCCCCACACAGAGTTGATGCTATAGGGACCTGCTGACACCTGACCAGCTGTTCTGGAGAGGCCATCAAGGGAAGAAGCAGGAGAGGGAGGTAGGAGGGTGGCAGAGTAGGCTGGTCTGAGCTCTGCTGGAATGGGGTGGGACCAGTCTGTTTAGTCCTGGTCTACATCATACCTGTCTATCAGTCTGTTTAGTCCTGGTCTACATCATACCTGTCTATCAGTCTGTTTAGTCCTGGTCAGTGATTGGTCAGCATTTGTATTATTCATGCTGTGATTTCACAAGCAACAGGAAGAGATGAGGAGAGACAACCGGAATCGTTGTAACTTCCAGTTTGCTCTGTCAGCGTGTTTGTGTTTCTGTGTGTGTGGTGTGTGTGTCTGTCCCTCCTTTTTTTAAATAAAAAAACTGCTGTTTCCAAAGAGTTAAACTCAGACAGACAGAGAGACACAGACAGACAGACAGACAGACAGACAGAGCGAGAGACACACAGACAGACAGACAGACAGACAGAGAGAGAGACACACAGACAGACAGACAGACAGACAGACAGACAGACAGACAGAGAGAGAGACACACAGACAGACAGACAGACAGACAGAGAGAGAGAGAGAGACACGCACGCAGACAGTGTGATGCCTGGGGAGATGTGCATTCAGTGACCTGAACATGATTCTAGTTGTATTGAACAGCAGTTTCCGTTGTGACAAGGGTGATGGTTAAAGAAACTTGTTTCTGTCTTTATGAATAATGAACGGGGCTGTAAGCTCATCTCTGCCCACCATCAATAATGCACACCTGTACGTGCACGGCTCAGGTATAGAGCTGGATATTTCTTATTTGTTGAAACCCCATTTGATAAAAACTTTGGACATTTAATTAAATAAAATAAATAAAAAAAAAACACTTAAATCCAATATTTGATTGAAAAACATCAAAGACGACATCAGAATGTTAAAGATGATGAATTCAATAAAAGGTGTAACAGTTAATCAAGTAAACTGTCAACAGGTTAGTGATGTGATTGTATAAAGAAGAGCAACCAGAGAGGCCTAAAGTGGGGGATCGGTTTACAGAGGGGCGGAGTCTGTCTGAAGTAAAGAGGGGGATCGGTTCACAGAGGGGCGGAGTCTGTCTGTTTAATAAATCATCACATCCTGTTTTTGATTTAGATTATAAACAACAGTCTGATGTTTCTCTTCTGTTTGTCTTTAAAGCTTTTATTCAACATGTTGTTATCTGTTGCCTGTTTCGCTTCAAAAGTGCTCATCCCTAACCTGTATGATGTTTATCTCTCTCTCGCTTGCTCTCCCTCGCTCTGTCTCTCTCTCTCCCTCGCTCTGTCTCCCTCTCTCCCTCCCTCTCTCTCGCTCTCCTTCTCTCTCTCTATATATTCCTCTCTCTCTCTCGCCCCCTCTCTCTCTCTTTCCCTCGCTCTGTCTCTCTCTCTCTCTCTCTCTCTCTCTCTCTCTCTCTGTCTCTGTCTCTCAGGGACTTCTTGCCAAGAGGATCCGGCATTGTGACCCGTCGTCCTCTCATCCTGCAGCTGGTAAACAGCAAAGCAGGCGAGTTGTCTTCTTACTAAACTAAGATCAAAGGAAGCGTTGACGCTCTTACATCCAGGCTTTGACTTGAAGAATGGGTTTTGGTGTGTGACCCTAACACAAAGGGCTGTACATTGAATCTTACTTCCAGCATGGTTGCATTATGAACATCTGCAAAATAGACATTGCAATAGTCTGAATTGATGGGAATAAATTCGAAAAAGTATTCTAGCTTCCTCACTCGGTATACATACATTTGAACCATTGGATGGAGGCCTGAGTATAATGACCAAGCTTTTTACACCATGTTAATGTAGTCAGATCACTTTAGTCTCTTTAGTGCCAGAAAAGCTGCTTATTGAATGGATTTTGGAGTCATTGCAAACAGAGGTCTTGTGTAAAACACAAATAACAGCTGGTAGACATGTAAACTGTGATTTTTTTTTTTTGTTTATTTATCACAGCCTCATATCATTCTTGCTATGATACAGGAAATAATGATTAAAATGATCGTATGGAGAATATCCTTCCATTTCTACTCCTGTCTTATTACGATGAATCATAGTGTTCATGATCTATCATGTCACTTTATCCCCCTCCTGATTGTCTCTCATGCAGAGTATGCAGAGTTCCTGCACTGTAAGGGCCGCAAGTTTGTGGACTTTGACGAGGTCCGTCAGGAGATTGAAGCTGAGACTGAACGGCTCACAGGATCCAACAAAGGCATCTCCCCCATCCCCATCAACCTGCGTGTCTACTCCCCTAACGGTATCACACACTTACAAAAACATTGACTCTTAGCTGCACGTTTCCTGCTTCTGTCTGAACCCCCTCCCTCTCTCTCAGTGCTGAACCTCACGCTGATCGACCTGCCGGGGATGACCAAAGTTGCCGTGGGAGACCAGCCTCATGACATCGAGCACCAGATCAGAGACATGCTGCTGCAGTTCATCACCAAGGAGAGCTGTCTCATCCTTGCTGTCACCCCAGCCAACACCGACCTGGCCAACTCTGATGCCCTCAAAATCGCCAAGGAGGTGGACCCTCAGGGTGAGTTTTATTTTTTATTTAACCTTTTATTTAACCAGATAAATAACCCATTGAGATCAGGATCTCTTTCACAAGGGTGACCTGGCCAAGAGGGCAGCAGCACACGTCATAAAAAGCATTACATGATAAAGAGACAGTTTACAAACAACAATTTAGGAGAGAACAACAATGTACAATGTGCAAATTGATTTACAGATAAAGTGCAGAATCTTGATCACAGGTTACAAACAACACAGGCACTGTCCAATTGTCTCGCATATTTTATCTTTTAAGATCGAGCCAAAGGCTTCAAGCGAAATGAGCATTTTGGAGAAAGTTCCATGCGGTGGGAGCAGCAAAACTAAACGCTCTTTTCCCGAGCTCAGTGCGGACACTAGGCACAGACAGTTTAAAGACATCACAGGAACGCAAGGCATAGTGGCTTCTGGTTCTTTGAAGGTATGAACATAAATAAGAAGGCACCAAACCAAGAAGAGCTTTGTAAATAAGCTTCAGCCAGTGTATATGCCTGCGCACCTTCAAAGATGGCCAATCTGAGTTAGTGTACAGGTCACAGTGATGAGTGAAGTGTCTACAACCAGTCAAAAATCTCAACGCACAGTGATACACGGTGTCCAATGACTGTAAACATTTGGCCGAGGCGCCAATGTACAGTACATCTCCGTAATCCAACAAAGGAAGAAAGGTTGATGAAACAAGAAGTTTCCTCGCTCTAAGGGAAAAACAGGATTTATTTCTGTAATAAAATCCCAACTTCACCTTAAGTTTAGAGGCCAAATTGGCAATATGTGATTTAAAAGACAGATCACACTCAAGAATAAATCCCAAGTACTTGTAGCTTTTGACAAGCTCGATTACATTTCCTTGAGAAGTTAAAATCAATGGGACATTTGTTGTTTCTCCACTTAAATGTGAAAACAACATGAGCTTTGTTTTATCAGTGTTTATGACCAACCTTAGTTCCCTCAAACGAGACTGGACAATGTTGAAAGCTAACTGTAGAAACTCAAAAGCTTGTGCAACAGATGCTGAGCAACAATAGATGATAGTGTCATCAGCATGAAAGTGATACAAGGCATTTGACAAAATTTCACACGTTATTGATATAAATAGAAAATAAAATAGGTCCTAGTATCGAACCTTGGGGCACCCCTTTTGAAATTTCTAAAAAGGAAGAGATGGATCCTGCCATTTGCACGCATTGCCTTCTGTTTGACAGATAGTTGCCAAACCAGGAGGCTGCTTGCTTTGATAGACCAACTTGATGGAAGATTTTGATCAATAATCCGTGATCAACTGTATCAAAGGCCTTTGATAAATCGATAAAGAGTGCTACACAAAATTGCTTACAATCAATTATTTCAATAATGTCAGTTTAAACCTTAAGAGCAGCTGTAACAGTGCTATGTTTTTTTTCTAAAACCTGACTGATACTTAGATAATACATTATTGGCATCCAAAAAATCCTTCAGTTGTTCACTAATGATTTTTTTTAAAAATATTTTTTCCAAAATGCAAAGTTTAGAAATTGGTCTGTAATTGTTTACTTGTGAGGGTTCACCCCCTTTTAACAGGGGAAGAACAAATGCTGATTTCCAGACCTTTGGGATTTCATTGCTGATCAGTCTCAAGGTTAAAATATATGAAAGAGGCTCAGCAATAAAATCAGCAGTCAACTCAAGTTGACTCAAGAACGGCTCAAGTTTATCAGGACCTGCTGATTTTCTGGAGTCCAGTTTCTGTAATGCTCTCTGCACCTCACTGGCATAAATTGAAAAGGATGAACAGTAAGTTGACTATCAACCTCAGATGCCAGTGACGCATTATCCTGATTTTTGTTGGATTTTACCAAATCAGGGTGCAAGGAGTCAAATAAAGAGCCAGCTAAAATAAAATGTTCATTAAAACAATTTAGCATGGCTGACGAGGGATAGCAGCCAGCGTGCAGCAGAACGGTGTCAGAGACCAGTGTAGGAGGATCCTGCGGCTAGCAGCTAATCAGCTAACCAACCGCTAGCTCCGTAAACAATGGACGGACAGCAAACTCGCGTAGCCTGGAGTCGTCAACGGCAGGAGGATCGCAGCAGAGACCAGCTTGGAAACCCGGTCATCCTGCGAGGCAGCCGAGAGACCGCCAGCCAGTGGCCAACCAACTGCCCGCAGCCCGGTAGCCAGGGATAGAAGACCTATGTAGTCTGGAGGGCAGATCGGCTAGCAGTTAGCAGCTTACCAGCCAACCAACAGCCAGCAGCTCAGCAATCCCGCGGACAGCCAACCCACGAAGCCGGGAGAACCAGGTGTCTAGGCACCCGGTCAGCAGACCCCAGCCTGCAACCAACAGCCAACTGACAGCTGACAACTTGCCGCAGGCTGACTCAGCAGAGGCACTCCCGCAGGGGATCCAAGGTGGAATATCGCCGGCAACCAGGTTATCCACTCTCCAACAGGCGCACTATATAGGCAAGGAATCCAGCTGAGTAGCAGAGATGGTACACAGTCCACACGGCTCAGCCAGTACGTTTGTGAACTGGTTGAGGTGAGAGGCCAGCAGTCGCAAAAAACCTGCAGATCAGAATAGTATTTTGTCGATTTGATTGCTGTTCATAGAGGTGACAGGAGGTATGTGTTCCATACACAAGCTAAAAATTGAGCAGTATAAGTCAGTAAAATACACATTCAAAGACACCGGAATCAGAAAGCAAACAAATGCATAGACGTGTGCGCGGCCATCTTGGATTGGTGCCGCGGTGCATTCAGGTGCACTCGAGTGCTGACATGTTTGTGTGCAGGATCAGTTAACCCGTTTCTTCTACTGATATGAATCTGCCGCAGGTCAAAGACAACCCATCTCAGTAACCACTGTTTCCCACACATACATGATACTTGGGCGGGCCGCCCAGGTACATTTGAGGATCGAATAAATTACGATTGTCTGCACCCCTCCCCCCCGCGTACTTCACCGCCAAGGTATCTCGTCATTCTGTGGGAAACACTGGTACTGTTATATTAAAAAACGAGAAGGTTAAGAATTCAGTTTAATCATAGCAGCCATTAGTCGTCAATCATTTAATCCAGAAAATCAAATTAAATGACTGGAGTCTGATGAAGCTTTAAGTTTCATTTCATTCAAAGCCCCACTGTAATGAGCATAGAGCCTCAGAGAGATGCATTTTAGATCAAAATTTGTGACAGAACAAAGAAATGGAATAAAACAAACATGCTGAAAAACAGTTCATAGACTTTTTGACACATATTTTTTTTTTCCTGGCACACAATCACAACCCACTGAAAACAGCTCCGCAACCCACTGTTGGGTCCGATCCTACCAGTTGAGAACCACTGTTGTAGAGTAACAAGAGTAGAGCCACGCTTTAGCTAACCTCCCAACCTCCTATCCTCCAAACCTTGTTCCTTAACCTCCTTTTCCCCACGGTATAAAAGACGTATTCATGACCCCTTGAAGATCTGCACTCGGTGTTTACTGCGCACCAAATGTTTGGAATTTACTGAAGAATGATTTCAAACTAATCTTATTAATACCTCACAGACATTCCAAGTTTTCATTTCTCATCTTATTGAATGTTTCTTTATATTTGAAGTCTTCCTCTTTGATTTCTTTATTTTGTTGTTCTTCAATGATTATCGTGATTCTTCACCTTTCATCTCTTAAATGTCGTGTTTGATTGTCTCCTAGGATTTTAATAAATAACATGAAGACATTTTTCAGATTTGCCAACACCAGATCCACGAGGGGATAATCAATTGTCACCTGGCTTGGTTGGGAAACATATTTATCTCTAATAAATCACAGGTGAACAATAAATGATGATCATGTGGTCTTTGTGTTCAGGGCTGAGGACCATTGGTGTGATCACAAAGCTGGACCTGATGGACGAGGGGACAGACGCTCGAGACATCCTGGAGAACAAACTGCTGCCCCTCCGCAGAGGTGAGACAGACATTATGATTTTGACATGTTGGATTGGATATGAACTTAGCTTAGCTCTTAGCTTTCTCTTAGATGGCCAAATTAATAGTGGAGCTGTAGTTCCTCTCTGTTAGACCTAGCTCCATATTTCAGAATGTAGAAAATGAAGTTGTTCAATATTCTTTTTGTCAGTACGCTGTAGGCTCATGCTCTCTGTGAGCCACGTTTGGTGTTGGGGTCCAAAACGTTCTTCTCCTCTGTTTTCTCTTCAGGCTACATTGGGGTGGTGAACCGTAGCCAAAAGGACATTGATGGGAAGAAAGACATCCGCGCTGCTTTGGCTGCTGAGAGGAAGTTCTTCTTGTCCCATCCTGGATACAGACACATCGCAGAACGCATGGGAACACCACATCTGCAGAAAACCCTCAATCAGGTGAGACACATGCCTTAGCGTACACACATAATGCTTCGTAAGAGCAAGTTACATGGAATGTTTTCTTTTGCCTCCAGCAACTTACCAACCACATCCGAGACACGTTGCCAGGGTTACGCAGTAAGCTGCAGAGCCAGCTGTTATCGCTGGAGAAGGAGGTGGAGGAGTACAAAAACTTCCGTCCTGATGACCCTGCACGCAAAACCAAGGCCTTACTCCAGTAAGCACACCTACAGACACACACTAATAAATACTCATTCAAATGAGTACAGGTGCAGCTCTTAATAGAATACTCACTTCCCAACAGCCCGGGAATTGGTGCAATAATAAGAAGTATTTAGGACTGAAGAGACTTTGAGTATTTTAAAAGAAACTCGTCGTTTTCACTGTTTGTTTAAACTTGTGAGCTATGAGATACTGAATCTCCCCGAGGGGACGAGAAAATAATCCATCTATCCATCCATCATATATTCTAGGTTTCTTGGACATGAAGTGAAATATTTGAAACCTTTTTTCTTTGAATCTCGATGATTACGGCTCACAGCTCATGAAAATCAAACATCCAGGATCAGAACCATTGAGAAAAAGGATTTATGGAACAGAAATGTTGGTTAATGTATGCACTCAGTACTATGTTGGGGCTCCTTTTGGAATTTTGAATTACTGCATCAATGTCAACTCTGTAGGATGGTGCAGCAGTTCGGCGTGGACTTTGAGAAGTGCATCGAAGGCTCTGGAGATCAGGTCGACACGTCCAACTTGTCTGGTGGAGCAAAGATCAACCGCATCTTTCATGAGCGCTTTCCTTTTGAGCTGGTGAAGGTGAACAGAGTTCTGATGATTATCACACTGATGCCTCTGAGACTACAAAAGCAAACCAGACTGATAGAGACGAGACGGGTTGGATTCAGGGGAGAAGATCGACTAATTAACTCTTAACCTAAACACTGGATGTTTTCAAAGGATATGACACATGTCTGTGCAGGGTCAGCTGTGGCTTAGTTGATAGAGTCTCAAGCGTAAGGTCAAGGGTTCGATCCCCAGCTCCTGCAGCAACATGTCCCATGTGTCCTTGGGCAAGACACTTAACCCCGTATTGCTCGTCTGCTTCGTCGGCGAGGTATGAATGTGTATGAATGGAATGAGTTACTTCTGATGGTCTCACCACTCAGCAGCCTCTACCATCAGTGTGTGAAAGTGTAGGTGTGACCTGCAGTGTAAAAGTGCTTTGAGTAGTCAGAAGACTAGAAAAGCACTATATAAACTGAAGTCCATTTACCATTCATTAAAGAGAGAAAACAGGTGAAAGAACCTGTTTGTGGACAGTGAGAGAGCAGTGATTAGAGCTTGTTTGGATAACCCACTTATCCACATGGGCCACCTATACCTGCTTCAATTCATATATTGTCATTTATTATGCTAAGCTTGTTTTTCTGTCAGCAGAACAACGACTTCATGTCAATTGTCAATCTGAGCCAATGATGTAGTGCAAAAAACTGCAGTTCCTCCACTGTCCACTTGAGGCTCAAAAGCCCCAGTAGTAGTAGTTTTGTTCTTTATTGGTACACACTGTGCAGGTTGTGGTTATATCTCACTTGTTTAGATTATAGTCAGAATTAGTCAGAGAGATGGAGGTTTACTTTGGTGGGTCATACAGAGGCATCAGTTAGCTCTATAAGAAGTTAACGATTGGTTTGTATTTACAGCACTTATGTTGAATCTTTATACATGTTTATACATACTTTAGTTCTTTTTATTCTGTGAATTAGATGGAGTTTGATGAGAAGGAGCTGAGGAAAGAAATCAGCTACGCCATCAAGAACATCCACGGAGTCAGGCAAGTTGAGGCTGCCTGCCAACAGCACATCACCTGTGCCATATGTTTGCTTCATTGTCTGAGTGTGTGCTTTACCTGTATGTCGGCTTGTTTTAGTTTGTGCCCCTTCAGCGTGTTTTCTTTGATCTGGGACCAGTTTTCATTTACTCTCCATGCTGCTTGTTCCCCTTGACCGTGTCTTGCAGTTGTTCTTGCTCCTCATGTACACTCCCTCAGTCTGCCCATGTCTGCTTTCATCTGAGCCCCCTCTCCTGCTCCATATGTGTCTTGTGTGTATGTCCTTCAGGACAGGACTGTTCACCCCTGACCTGGCGTTTGAGGCCATAGTGAAAAAGCAGATCATTAAGCTGAAAGAGCCGTGTCTGAAATGCATCGACCTGGTCATCCAGGAGCTCATCAACACAGTCAGACAGTGCACTAATAAGGTATCACTGCATGGTCTCCTGTCTGGCTGCCACGTCTATACATACACACCACAGAGACCAGCTGACCCATGAGCTGCCAGAAGCCAAATTGGTACAGAGGTTATTAATCTGAAATTTTAGTGGATGAATTCGAAGCCTGACTTTAGCTCCTGTAGTCAGAAAATGTATGAACATAAGTAGATATATTCAAACATCCTGGCTGAGCTGCGGAGCAATGAGTGGTGTCTCTGAGATGCTGTGTGGTGGGAAACGGGATGTTACTGTTTCTCTGCAGGTTCACTACACAACAAGGTTCACTACAAAACAAGCTGCAGGTTCACTACACAACAAGGTTCACTACACAACAAGCTGCAGGTTCACTACACAACAAGGTGCAGGTTCACTACACAACAAGGTTCACTACACAACAAGGTGTAGGTTAACTTACACAACGAGGTGCAGGTTCACTACACAACAAGGTTCACTACACAACAAGGTGCAGGTTAACTACACAACAAGGTGCAGGTTAACTACACAACAAGGTGCAGGTTCACTACACAACAAGGTTCACTACACAACAAGGTGCAGGTTCACTACACGACAAGCTACAGGTTCACTACACAACAAGGTGCAGGTTCACTACACAACAAGGTTCACTACACAACAAGGTGCAGGTTAACTACACGACAAGCTGCAGGTTCACTACACAACAAGCTGCAGGTTCACTACACAACAAGGTTCACTACACAACAAGCTGTAGGTTCACTACACAACAAGGTTAACTACACAACAAGCTGCAGGTTCACTACACAACAAGGTTCACTACACAACAAGCTGCAGGTTCACTACACAACAAGGTTCACTACACAACAAGCTGCAGGTTCACTACACAACAAGGTTCACTACACAACAAGCTGCAGGTTCACAACACAACAAGGTTCATTACACAACAAGGTGCAGGTTCACTACACAACAAGCTGTAGGTTCACTACACAACAAGGTTCACTACACAACAAGCTGTAGGTTCACTACACAACAAGCTGTAGGTTCACTACACAACAAGGTTCACTACACAACAAGCTGCAGGTTCACTACACAACAAGCTGTAGGTTCACTACACAACAAGGTTCACTACACAACAAGCTGCAGGTTCACTACACAACAAGCTGTAGGTTCACTACACAACAAGGTTCACTACACAACAAGCTGTAGGTTCACTACACAACAAGGTTCACTACACAACAAGCTGCAGGTTCACAACACAACAAGGTTCACTACACAACAAGCTGTAGGTTCACTACACAACAAGGTTCACTACACAACAAGCTGTAGGTTCACTACACAACAAGGTTCACTACACAACAAGCTGTAGGTTCACTACACAACAAGGTTCACTACACAACAAGCTGTAGGTTCACTACACAACAAGGTTCACTACACAACAAGCTGCAGGTTCACTACACAACAAGGTGCAGGTTCACTACACAACAAGCTGCAGGCTTCAAAGAACTTATTAAAATAGTTTTTGCTTTGTTTTTTGGTTGTTTCCTGTCAAAGCGTCTTTAAGTATTTAGAAAAGCGCTATATAAATGTAATTTATTATTATTATTATTATTGTAATATGAACACCTGGACATGAATCAAAAGACAAAATCCGGATTGAGAAACGTTGATCTGTATTTTCATTTTATAGTTTGACATGGAGGAGGCGGAGCTTATGAACTATACTGTAACCAGTTAGTAGGGGGATCTCCAAATGTTTTGGCTTCTTTTTGAGACGTCCATGTTTTTATGAAGTCTATGGTCTGGGCTAAAGTGATGGACAGACTTAAACTGGCCTCCATACAGCTAAGAAGTCAGCATGCCGCTAAAGGCTGCAGGCGACCCTCAACCTGCACTTTAAAAAAATACTCAAACGACGAGGAAGTGTGAAAACCTGCAGCTTGTTTCTGAACATCAAGTAGAACGAACTTAACGCCTGTTTTTATTTTATTTCTCCTCCTATCTACTCTTCATCCTCATCTGTTTCCTATTTCACTCTTTTTTATCTCTAAACTCTTAAAATATATTTTTTCTGCCACTGCCTTTTCCTCATCCTGGCCGTGCTGCACCTCCTTCTCCTTCTCCTTCTCCTTCTCCTCCTCTCCCTCTCACTCTCTCTCACTCTCTCCCCCTCCTCCATCATCTCCCCCTTCTCCTCCTCTTCTTCCTCCTCCTCCTCCTGCCATTAAACCTCCCACTCCCATGATGCCTCACCACAGGACAGGCCTGTTCACCCCTGACCTGGCGTTTGAAGCCATAGTGAAAAAGCAGATCATAAAGCTGAAAGACCCGTGTCTGAAATGTGTCGACCTGGTCGTCACCGAGCTTGTCGCCCTGATCAGGAAGTGCACTGAAAAGGTAATGAGGAGCAGTGGAGATTTACAAAAGATGAATACGGAGAGATGGAAAGAGAATCCAGATAAGAAGCTAAAGGATCATTTGAGTGTTGCTGAACGTTTCCCCTCACTGCTGCTTCAGGCTTCACTCAGCACACATGCTTCCCCGCTGACCCCCTCTTTAATGACCAATCTAAAAGAGCCTGGACCCCCACAAACCCCTCACCCTACCGCAAAATCAGATCCCCACTCACAGTCAGAGATTTACCTGCTTAGACATGTTGCTGTTTTTACCCCGACACCTATAATGCCACCTAAACACCCTAATCTTCATCATCTTCTGTCTTTCTCCTTTTCTTCCTAACTACTCTGATTGGTTGAGACTGCATCAGCTTGAGATCTTATTATATTTAATCTACAGCCAATATCTCAAACGGATGTGGGTCTGATTACTGCATGCCTCCTCTTTCTGTAAAGCCTGGCTCACACTGCAGGATAATCAGGCTGATTTGAGCTCCGATTCTTCCTTCCCGACAATCGCAGGGTCGCTCCCGACTCAAGGCTGCTCGGACCCGATTATCTGCTCAGATTATCTTTTAGTGTGAGTGGTACAAAGATCCAATCTTTTAAAGATTTATTTTTGAGCTTTTTGTCATTTTAATGGAGCGATAGGGCAGTGGATAGAGTCAGAAATCAGGGAGAGAGAGAGAGGAATGACATGCGGGAAATGAGCTGCAGGTTGGATTTGAACCTGGGCCGCCCGCCTGGAGGACTACAGCCTCCATACATGGGGTGTGCGCACTAACCACTGTGCCACCAGCGCCCCACATACATCCAATCTTAACGTCCCCGATCTGCCCGGCGATTGTTGGGGATGCCCCCATTTATTTGAAATTTGTTTGATATTTAGAATTTTAAATCTTGACGATTACGTCATGAAAGAGTCCGGCAGAAGTTGTGTGTGACTACAATATAATCACAAGAGACAAGGGAGGACTGTAGTCATGGCGACCAGTGGCAGGAAGCAACCCGTTTTTTTTTTTTTGTTTGTTTTCTGTACAGATCATCAGAACAGCACTTTTCTGAAACTCGTATCCATATATCTACGATTGCATCAACTTTCCCTATAACCTACAACAACTTCCTCTTTCACCAACCGCCGTCCGTTGGAGTTTTCAAATGAAACTTTATTAACAACTGTCAACGCTCCGTCCCGATTTCACTCATTCAGTGTGAGCTCTCAGGTCGAGCCTGACAATCGGGTCGTACAGTGTGAGCACATAAGCCTCAAGGTCTGGTCGTTTGTCGTTAACGAAGAGAAGAGAAATTGCAGTGTGAGCCAGGCTTTAGTGTTCATGTTGAATTCATGTTGAGTTCATCATGAGTGATGGTGTTCACAATGTTGTGATAACGGTGCCTGCAGCAGCGTGTGTGTTCTCTCTGTGTACGACTACAGCTGGGATCGTACCCTCTACTGAAAGAAGAGACCGAGAGGATCGTCACCACCTATGTCAGAGAGAGAGAGGGCAAGACAAAAGACCAGGTGCGTGCGTGCATGTGTGTTGTGATAAAACGTACTTGTTTTTTTTTCTTTTTGTACTAAACGAGTGACATGTCCTCTTTAAGGTGCTGCTGTTGATCGACATCGAGCTCTCATATATCAACACCAACCACGAGGACTTCATCGGATTTGCTAAGTACGATCAAACTTTATCAAAACGTTTCATGAAGAAAGAAATTCAGGTTCAGATACCAGTAGGCATGGGCTTCAGAAGCATAAAGAAATTCAATGGTACAATATAATGGCGGTCTGGGGTCTCCCGGGGGTCCTTTTGTGGATCCTCCCGAGGTCCTACTGGGGGTTCTCTTGGGGTCCTCTTGTGGATCCTCCCGAGGTCCTACTGGGGGTTCTCTTGGGGGGGTTCTTCCCCAAAGAACGGATATGACAGAGTAGAAGTCATTTCATACTCTGTGCATTTTGACATGTTTTAATGCTAATGCTAATCTGACTGTAGCTTGAGACACATTTAGGAGATGATGATGATGGAGTGATTATAATAATTATTATAATCGTTTTAAAAATGTTGTAGAATATTTTCCCAATAGCAGTGGTGAGCTCTGTCATTATGTCGAGTAAAATGCATGAATATTTAATTTTCATGTCCGATTCTTTCACATGAAATTATTCACATTAACAAAAAATCAGGATCAAACAGCCAATATCAAACAACCCGTTACCCTGAACCTGCCCTCCCCATAATAGAAACACTTCAAGAGGTCAAGTACAACAGTTATACCAACACAGACCCCCAATAAAAGAAAACCCAACAAAGACCCTCAACAACAGACCCCCACACAAAAAAACCCAACACATACCCCCAACATCAGACCCCCCAACCAGACTAAGGGAGCTTCCGGTTGAGCAGCCATGAGGGTAACAGCCTAACTTCAGAGCTCCCCGACCCTACGTCTAAAACACCGCCTTTTTGCACTTTAAATTGATTGAAAATCGTGAAATATGAATAAGTCGTTGATGATATGAAAGGGGGAAGACGAAAACCTGCCATGCATGCTAAAGAACAGTCCTCTCTAGCAAACAAAAACTCTGAAGCAGAAACAGATGACTAGATACAAGTAGTTGAAGAAGCCGTTTTGGAGATTCTAAAAGTACAAGAGAATCTGGAGGCCAGACTCTCGGACCAAGAGGGTTGTGCCAAACGGGTCAACATTAGACTGCACAGCATAACAGAAGGATCGGGGGATAACTCGGCAGCGATGATCACATTCGTAGAGGGTTTGCTAAGAGAAGAGCTGGAAATTCCTGCCACCACAGATCTTAGGGTCGAAAGAGCACACCAATCCCTGGGACCAAAACCGCAGAAAAAAGGATTTATGCATCAGGAGAGAAGGGTGATACTCGACCACGACTATGGAGGCAAAGAGGGTCCTTAGAGAGAGGAAACTTCGATTTCAAACCCCGTTCCCGGCTAGGACGAGAGTATTCTATGAGGAGGAGACGCATGTGTACAACTCCGCAGCTGAGGCCACCAAGGATATGGCGAGACGTGGACTCCCGGTGGCTGTGTTCGCGAGTTGGTCCGACAGGATGCGATATTTTAAACGCCTGCACAAAATAATTTTGCTCTTAAAAACACATCTTGTTGGAGGTCTTGAGGGGAGAAAAGGGCAAACCATTAAGATTGTAGTCTGGTAATGCCCTTTGCTTCAGAAATACTGGAATCAAATTAAAAACGTCATGGAAAAGGTGCTCGAAGTGCCGATCTTTTCAATTTTGCAACGCCCTAACTAGGTCTAAGGCCAGACAGCATTGAGGGCTTTTCTAAAAAAATACATGTTTAATATTCTACAACCAAGAAAGCTCTCACCAGAAAATGGATGTCAACAGACGCCCCCATGGTTGAGAACTGGATCGATGTAATCCACAACATGTTCGTGATGGAGAAACTCACATTTATTTTACGACTTGAACAACAGAAGTTTAAAATTTGTTGGACACCTTGGACCACTTATACATCCTTATTAAATCCTACTACAACCAATCTCAAAATATGGACCCAATACACCTCTTTCCCCTAAGTGTTGTCTAGTTTATGTTCTGTGTTTTATTTTTTGAGCTGCTAAATTGTACATAGTTTAATAGTTTAGTTTTCCTGATCCAAGAACACATGCAAGCAGCTAGGCCTTGACCCCCCCCCCCCCTCATGATTCCTTTTCTGTTATATATCTCACTATGGGTGGTAATAAAAGGGTCCCACATTGTTAATTTGATTATGTTCTGTGGCACAATTGACAACTCTGAATTGTAGAGTGTTTTTTTTCCACTAGGACTTTAATTCATCTGATCACTGATCACTTTTACAAGTTTCTCGCTTTTTTTTTTTTTTTTATGTGAGTATTTCTCAGTATGTGAAGATTTATGATTGTAAACTTGGGTATAACTTTTAATGAAAATATACTTACTTATTTACTTTCATTCACTGATTTATCAGTTTGCCTGACTGGGTGCGTGGGCTTGTATGTGTTTTTAAGTTCATCTATGTAAGCGGGGACATGTATACGACAACAATCCTATTTGCTTACCCATCTCGGCATATTAATTTTACTCACAACGGCTTTGTCAAGCTTTGAATTTTCTTTTACAAAATAATGTTTACTTGAATCAGCACTATTACCACCTTAATATACAAGAATGTTTAAACAACTGTCTTATACCTGTTTTATTTTATCTCTTTACTTTGTGAAAAATGTTTGTAACTTTGATTAGCTGCAAAACATGCTTCAATTTTGCTCTGAATAAAAATGTAAATAAAAAAAACGGGAAAAAAAAAAAACCCAGACTAAGACCAGACTCAAAGACTGGACTAGGACCGGATTCATCTTTAAAGACTGGACTTATCTTTTTAAAGATAATAACATAATATGATTGACAGTAATATCTCGTGTTAAATACAGTTGAAAAGGGGCTATATGTAACTTTCAAAAATAATGTGTTTGTAGCGATACTGCATGGCCGTAACCTGTTGCACACTCTCCCTCGCGTGCTTGTACATACACAAACGAGCATCATCATCGGCTGCGAAACACTGAATATTTACCGGCATAATGTTTACAGAGGAGGTAAGTGGTCATACACGTGAAAGCCTGTGAAGGAGTCTGTATGTTTGTATTCATTCTCCATCCTACAAACAACAGTCTCTGCAGGCACTGGCTGAGAGCAGGAGTGTGTGATACGTTTGTTCTGTTGATCTCTGTAAGCGGAGTGAGGAGGACGTTGAGACTGCGCATAAAATGTCACTTCCTGGAGCTTTCGCGGAAAATACGACCCAGGGAAAAATGTTTTACAGGCACATCAGTTAACCGTTCGCTTATTAATGGGTGATAATAAACTTTTTATACAAAGTTACATATAGCCCCTTTGAAGTGAATCTTTGAATCTTTTAGATGTAACAGAATCTCTCTCCTGCAGCGCCCAGCAGAGGACGGCTGCCAACGCCACCAAGAAGAGAGTGATGCCCAACCAGGTAACACACCTGTGTTTACTGTTACCCTCTGTCTGTTATATAAAGCTCTACCCCCCCAGGTAACACACCTGTGTTTACTGATACCCTCTGTCTGTTATATAAAGCTCTGCCCCCCCCAGGTAACACACCTTTGAATACTGATACCCTCTGTCTGTTATATTAAGCTCCGCCCCCCAGGTAACACACCTGTGAATTCTGCTACCCTTTGTCTGTTATATAAAGCTCCGCCCCCCAGGTAACACACCTGTGTATACTGATACCCTCTGTCTGTTATATTAAGCTCCACCCCCCAGGTAACACACCTGTGTTTACTGATACCCTCTGTCAGTTATATTAAGCTCCGCCCCCCCAGGTAACACACCTGTGAATACTGTTACCCTCTGTCTGTTATATAAAGCGTCACAGGCAGCTTCACTCTTCTTCTCTTTGTGTTTTTTCTTCTTCTGTGGTTGTCTCAGCTCATCTCTTCTTCTCTTTGCTGCTTCATGTTTACACACATCCTGTCTGTGCCTCTTCGTTTGCCTTTCCTCTCTTCCTCCTCTTTATCCTCTTCTGTTCCTCCTTTTATGGCCCTCCTTTTACACCCCCTGCACATCCACTTGTTACTTCCTGTTTGCGTGGGTAGGGGAGCCAACGGTTATTCAGGACATTCTGGGAAACAAGATTTGAGCCATTTGTCAAAGAAAAGGGAAGTGAAAGAGTTAACTCTATTTTGTTTCATAAGAACTGGAAACATTTAATATTAAGGTCTGGTTTCTTCTGTTCCACTCACACTTTTACAGAAATCAGATCATTCTGACCCTTAGAGTTATGAAAGCCACATCTGATGTTGTTCTGAGGTAACTTTGACAGGAAATGAACATTTGGAGCCTCGTGTAAGACATCGCCTGCATTCCCTGATTCCATTCATGTTCATGAATTAATTCACGTTTCATTTGAAGGAAATTTTGTTTAATTCAAACTTTGAATCAATTTCTTCTCGGACTAACACTATCAGATCAAACAATCTGGTAATAAGTTTATGAGGGGCCATTCACGCCATAATTCATTATGAGTATAGGTAACTAACCATGTGAGATCACAGAGGTAACCTGGCCAGGACAGCAGCAGCACACGTCGTCATGAACATGAGATGATTGGACACACAACAGTTTACTATGTTATTATTACTGTTAGCTTTATTGAGGGCACACCAACTGATAGAAGGGTTTTTATTTATTAGGGCCCGAAGCACTGACAAGTGAGTAGGACCCTATTGGAACCCAAATGGTGGTTATTTTTTGTCTTCCTCCACTTCAAACGTGATTTTGAGGGCCTGAACGTGCCCGAAAACTCAGCAACATTTGCACGATCATCGGGTCCGGTGAAAAATTTGATATTTTGGCGTTTTCATGAACAAAGTTTGAAAATTAGCTTGACGGTGCCCCCTATTGATTTTTACGAATATGGTTTTTTGCCTACATAAATGATTTTTTTTTACATGTTAGAGCAGGCCGAGAGGTGGAAGTCATTGTCTAATTTCAACAGGAAGTCCACTATGATTTTTTGAATGTCTAAAAAGTCCATATTTTCACAGTTTACGGGGTACCTGTTTGAAAGCATCCGCCTGAGAGCGTTTATCTTATCAATTCAAGTTTGGTGTCAAATGAAAGTAGACAAGTTGAAGAATAAAAGTTGTGCTCAAATCACGAGGTTTCAAAATAAGGCGTGGCGTGATGTCAAAGTTTGATGTCGTTTTTGGCATCGCGCCAAAAACAGTAAACGCTTATAACTCTACTATGTAGTGTTCAATCATCACCAAAAAATTAATGCAAAGAGCCCGCCCTGAACACATCCATGATTGAATTTCTTTAATTAGTCACAGCGCCACCTGTTGACAACAGGAGGTCACTCCGTCTGAGCACTGTTTCCTTTGCACTAGCCATTGCTACACAGTTGCTTGTATCTCCCTCAAAATCGCTGTTGACCATCCAAAGACCTTGACCACACGACCTTTACAAGCACAAAGGCCTGCGTGAAAAGCTGTTTCCTTACAGATGCGTTGTTCGCCATCAAACAGGAAGTAGTTTTTTCACAGGCTTAACATAGTCGTACAGACCCGAAACTTCATACATATAATCCTGGTACTAAAGTCAAACATCTTATATCGTGTAAGTAAGTGGGCGTGGCTTAATTGCTCAGTGGCGCCCCCTTCAAATTTTCAAAATGGCCTCCCCATAGAGGGTTTTTTCACGTACATTCATGAAAATTGTTACGTATATTAAGCTTGTCAGGACGGACAAAAAATCCTCTTGCAGTGTTTCAAAAAACCCTACAGGAAGTCCACAAATTATTATTATATTATATTATTGAATTTCACAATAACGGCCCAAAATCGCAATTTCAGCCTTCCTATTTGAACGAACTAGTCCGAAGGATCTCATGTGTTCGACGCGAACTCAGTGTCAGCGTGTTCTAGATGAGTACAACATATCTGGTTGTGCTCTGCATGTTATTTCGTCAGAGAGCGTAGCCGTGGCGTGCGTTTGAACTTTTTTGTGTGTTTTGGCAACTTGCCAAAAAAGCAAATGCTTGTATCTCAGCTATGCAGTGTTCAATCATATTACAGTTTCTCATGCATGATACGAGGCCCGCCCTGAACATGTTTGAATTTTTTTAATAAGTCACAGCGCCACCTGTTGACAACAGGAAGTTACTGCTACTCATTTAGCATTAGCCAATGCTACACGCAGCTCAATTCCCCCTCAAAATTGGTGTGGACCATGCTAACACCTTGGCCATACAACACTTTCAAGCTCAAATACCTCGCCATACGGATGCATCATTCGGCGTCAACCAGGAAGTGGCTGTAACTCTTATATACTTTGTCTGATCTGCCTCAAATTACACAGGTATGATCAGGGTTGGCCCCCGAACACATAGACATAACAATAGTCAACTTTAACCATAGCGCGTCCTACTGCAAGGAATAAGTACTACACAATGCTCAATTTGCTCCATATTTCATAGCTATCATGACAGTGCCAGCCTGAACTGCTCTATGTCAAAATTTTCTGTGATCTTCATTACGCTGCCTATTTCAGCATACCATAGTACAACTTTCACACAAATTGGACTGCACGGCCTGCTGCTTAGCCACGTTCCGCTGCTGCTGCACTCCCGCGGTCGCAACACACTCCGTCATGCACAGGGGTGCGAGGGCCCTTCATCACTGCTTGTAGTTTTAGTTACTACTATTTTCCACATTTTAGAATTATAGTAGATATTAAAACAACAAAAATAGAAATGCAAACAGACAGACATCTTATTCACATGTCAAACATTCAAGCATAAGCCTTTAGATCAAAATGTCTTGGAAGATAATAACATGCAGGTCAATCAGGTCTGTCCAAACCTTTGACTGGTAGTCTACACACACACACACACACACACACATTTATTACCTTGTTATATGTCAAATTAGATGTCAGGTGCAGTAAAACTAGTCCAGTTCTAAGACTTGTTGTTTTTCAAGGGTCTAGTTTTGAGGTCTGGCTTTTGGCTTGAAATATTTGAAGACAGGTCAGACCTGGGTAAGATGGCAGTTTATCAATTATTGCCCTTTAAAGAAACAGAATCCTGAGCTCATTGATTCAAAGTAACTGGTTCATTTTTGGTTCAGTGAATGATACGAGCACTATTTGAGTATTTAGTGTTTTTCACAGCTGTCAGCCAGAACCTGTATCTGGCTTTATATCCTAACCTCTGTTAACATGTAAACAGGCTGGACAGTTGGAGCCAAAGACCCTCACATCAGGAGAAATCCTTAGTCTCAGTCTGATGTCATGGAATAGACCGCAGAGCAGTTTGTTTACAATATTTACTACTTAATGACTCGATCACTTGCCCATTATCTAACTTTAAGCACACACAGGAAGTGTCTAATTCCTACAAACTGGTTTACGTGGAAGAACAATCAGTAGTTTTAATCCATGATATGAAATGGAATGTTAGCCTTCAGTAAAAAGCTCGTATAAAGAGTCACCCTGCAGACAAATCATCTGCATACTGTCTAACAGTTAACTCTTAAACATCCTAATATGCAAACCCTCCCCATCTTCTCCAGGATTGTCCCCCCTTCCCATTCCCCCGCTGGCCTGCACTATCACTGCTCCAGGACAAACCGGGACTGAGCATGGTTACCTCTTGTCCATAACGTCGTAATACAATACATGCATGACTTTATGTTATTATGAAGCATGCTCATTTTACAAGAACGGAGGACTCGAGTAAAAAATAGAAAAAATAAAAGGGACATGTGGTCGAGTCAGTGTCCCCACATCGGCGAACAACACAGAGAACATGTCAGCTACTTTACTGATTTTGTGTCTTATTCTGAGTCATGTTAGTCAGATACAGACAGAACACTCCTGAATGAAGGCTGTCCAGTGTGCCAGGGCCGAGGAAGCATATCGTGCTTGAGCACGGATCGGAGCACTCTCACTAGTCAAACGAACTAGAGTTCAGAGGGGAAGCGTGCTTAGGCACGGTGCAGATCGCCTCGTGTGAGTGTGCCCTAAGGGTTTTTTAGGTGAATCTTTGTCCTGCTCAAACCTTTCCGCTGCTGTATTTAATTTATTGTTTCACGGCCGAGTCTGTGGTCATGATTATGTCCTGTTATCATCCCTGTATGTCTGTTCCCTTTGTCTCCTTGACCTTCAGTCTGGCATAGAGAGCGATGCAGAGAAGGTGACTTTGTACTTTCATGATTTCTTATGACGTTTGTGGTGAATTTGAACTCAACAGTATTCCTGTGACATGACCTCTCTGTGCTCCCAGAATACTGTAAAAACCTGCATGGTTGTTGTGCTCTTTTGTGTTTGAGCTCATGTTTTCAGTTTAATGTTGCCTTCCTGTATATTAATAAGGACTTTCAGCATTAATTAACGCTAATGCATTAATCTTTTAAAATCTTAGTCATCCTCAGTGTCTCCCTGTAGTCTCAGTGATGTAAAAGAAGGACACTGCTGCATCTTTGAATGTCTCATTTCACTTTAAAAACTCTCAGACAGTTCAGCTGACGAGTCCAAAGTAATATCCACCTTATGACATCACACATTGACCTTATGACATCACATAATGACCTTTCTTACCGTTCCTTTGAGCTGTTTGGCCTCACTTTGGGATCCCTAACCACTTCCTGTTTCTGTGCTTAACTTCATGTCCTGACCTTCACTCTACAGGAAGGGCCTTACTGTATTTCAAAATTAAAGCACACAGAAAGTGAAGTACTCTAAGCTTAAGACAGGAGAAACATTCAAAACAAAAGCCTAACAAGTTATATTTTTACATGTGAAATAATGGAATTTAGACATGTGGTTAAAAATGTGATGAATGGTGATTAAAAGTAAACAATTTGTTTGACAGCCCTGATATTCAAAGCTACATGTTACCCATGTTGTGGAGTACTAAACTCTCAGCCTCTCATATGCAGGTGATCCGCAGAGGCTGGCTTACTATCAACATCAGCATCATGAAGGGAGGGTCTAAGGACTACTGGTTTGTCCTGACGGCGGAGTCTCTCTCCTGGTACAAAGATGAGGAGGTAGGAACGTTTGAAGGACAGGAAGTGTGTTGTTTACTCTCCTTGAGTCAAAGGAAAGGAAAAGGAACAGGGCTAACGTCATCACAGTACAGCCTGTAGCCTCTCCTCATTCTTTCCTTTAGAAGATAAATGCTGCTTTATTTGTTCCCATCTTGATCACCTCTCTTCTTTTAATCAGGAGAAGGAGAAAAAGTACATGCTGCCTCTGGATAACCTGAAGCTGAGAGACGTGGAGAAGGGCTTCATGTCCAGCAAACACGTCTTTGCCATTTTTAACACCGAACAGAGGTGATTTTTTTTTTTTTTTTTTTTTTTTGAAAGATTTTTTTTTTTTAGTTTTTTGTGTCTTTAATTTGAGAGATAGGACAGTGGATAGAGTTGGAAATCAGGGAGAGAGAGAGCAGGGTGGGACATGTGGGAAAGGAGCCACAAGCTGGATTCGAACCCGGGCCACTTTGAGGACTACAGCCGCCATACATGGGGTTTGCGCACTAACCACTAGGTTACCGGCGCCTCACAAATTTCCGTTTAACTGACAAGGAAATGAGTTGCCTGGAAACATCCAGCTATTATCTCTACATCCTCTGACATGTCTCAGAGCTGCACGCGCACTAACCACTGCGCCCCAGACGTGATTTTCTTGTGTGTGTGTATGTGTATGTGTGTGTAACAGGAATGTGTATAAAGACCTGCGTCAGATCGAGCTGGCCTGTGACACTCAGGAGGATGTGGACAGCTGGAAGGCGTCGTTCCTCAGAGCTGGTGTTTACCCGGAGAAAGACCAGGTACAAGATGTATTTACATTTCATCATTATTAACCCTTCACTGTCAGTGTGACTGGAGTTTATTTGTTCATTCAGTTCAACGCCCCCCATTGGTCCAGGGAGCAAAGACGAGTTAGTCAATAACATTTGTGTGTCACATGGTCGAGGCTCAGCGACATCATTGGGGGTTTCTAAAAAGGCCATGAAGCGTGGTCACCACATAACAAAAGCTGTAATGTAACTTTAGATCGAACAAGTGACAGACAAGGAGGCGGAGCTAAAGAGCATGCCTCTATCTTTAACTTGTAGTGTAAAATTACCAAAAGTTAATTTCTTTATAATAATAATAAAATTAAAAATAGCTTGGAATTTATAAAGCGCCCTTCAAGAAACCCAAAGACACTTTACAGTAGTAAAAAGGGGGCAGTAATAGGAGACGACAAAAAGAAACACAAACAAAGAAATAACACAAAACAAACAAATGAAGGAAAGAGAAAAAAAAAAGGTCTGGGTGCTCAGAAAGTTGGAGTGGACTCCAACTTTCTGAGCACCCAGGTTGTGGACCTCGGATGAAGGGCCATGAGCTCAGTCCTGCTGCTGTTGAGTTTGAGGAGGTTGGAAGACCTCCAGGTTTTAATGTCATGGAGGGAGTTAAAGAGTGACTGGGGGGCGGAGCTTAGTGGATGGAAGAGTGCTGAGGTGGAGCTGTGTTGTTGTTGGTGGATTATCAGACCAAGGACTAACCCCCCATATAAACAGGCTGTAAACATGTAAACAGGCTTGTCTTGTTTATGGTACTGGTTTATGGTTACTGTATAGGTCTTGTTTATGGGACTGTGTGGGTCTTGTTTATGGGACTGTGTGGGTCTGGTAAGGGACTATATGAGTCTGGTTGAAACAACTTCGGATGTGAGGTTGTGTTTGGAGAGATCACTCAGGGGACCAATCAGAGATACATATTACTCTCTGTTTCTTCTTCCTTCACATCTTCCTCTCACTCTTTTTCTCCTCCAGCCTGACAGTGAAGAAACTATAAATTCCAGCGACACTGTGTCCATGGACCCGCAGCTTGAGCGACAAGTGGAGACCATCCGCAACCTGGTGGACTCATACATTGGCATTGCCAACAAGTCCATCAGAGACCTCATGCCCAAGACCATCATGCACCTGATGATCAACAGTGTACGTCTTCTGATTTAAGCATCTCATTCCTGTGAGTTACAAACAACGTTCAGAATTAAGTCTCTCTTTTTCCCTTTCCCGTCCTGCAGGCGAAGGACTTCATTCACTCGGAGCTGCTGGCCTACCTGTACTCTGCGGGGGATCAGGGCAGCATGATGGAGGAGTCAGCAGAGCAAGCTCAGAGGAGGGATGAGATGCTGAGGATGTATCATGCTCTGAAGGAGGCCTTGGTCCTTATTGGAGACATCAGCACCACCACTGTCTCTGTTCCTGTGCCTCCACCTGTGGACGACAACTGGATCGCCAAAGACCCGAGGTGAGTAGACACAAAGATATAAGAGGTGTTATTATCCTGGGTTAGATTGATCAGGGTCTGGGTTAAGGCTGACGAGTAGCAAAGATTTATAGTGTAAAAAAACACATTTACAAATGATAATCCAGTTTGTCCAGCAGAGGGCGCTGACGTATTGACTAAGTGGTGTCCTCTTTGGTGCTCTTGCTTCTTTTAATTCTTAAAAAGATTCTTCTGTATGAAGGGGGAGTGGGAGGGGGTTAGGGTTAGTTAAGCTTTGAATAGTTTGATTGTTCATTTGTTTTTAGTCTTATTTTGTTTTGACGTTTTGTTTTCAGTTTGAATTTTATTTTTATTCAGGTTTTTTTTGTCTCTGTATTATAAATGTTTCACAGAAAGATCTCAAACAACGTTGTCCTAAATTTGGATAAAATCTCGTTTTAGTAAAGTTTGAACTTTGTTACTGTCAGAAATAGAAATAGAACTGACGTGTCTTTAACAACACTTTCAGTCAGTAAGCGTTTTTATGTAGAGCCTTGTTTTTATTTCAGTTGTTTTTCATTATGTGTTATTTTTTTTATTCACAATAATCACCTTGATGAAATGAAGTTAAAGCATCCTTCTCGCCAAAGTGACCACACTCCCATGAATGTGTTGACGAGAAAACATTAGTAGCAACTAAACGCGGTGTCATTTCTTTGGTCCTTCAATCAGTTAAAACAGTTTAGAAGACGTGAAGGTGGTCAACTTTAGGACCCGTGTTGAGTCCATACTGGCTGTGACCGGGTGCGGTATAAAGACCAGCAGGTCATCTGCATTAACCCTGCATGGGGTCAGGGGACAACCCTGACGAGTACCCCGCTGAGGATTTTGGGGTATTTGTAAGAACTGAAGCAGTTGGGCTTGAATATATTAGTTTTATCCAACTAATTAAAGCATGGTCCGAAATCTAATTTTTCTAAAACATTAAACAAATATGCCCATTCCACCCGTTCTAACGCTTTTTCCGCATCCAAAGAAACATTCAGGCACTGCATCAGACGGAGCATACAAGATATTGAAAAGATGGCGAATATTGTTGACGGTTTCTAATAAAGCCAGTTTGATCCTCAGAAATAATCAATGGGAGACAGCTCTCTATAATGTAATGTAAGAATTTAGACGGCAGTACCCATTTTAAACACTAGGTGTCAGAGTTACAGATTGTTTCTTTAATGCATCGCGATTTTGACGTGATCACAGAATCATAAATATTCACTTCAGTCTGTTTCAAAGCAGCTTTCTTTACACAAGCTTTACACTTGTACTCAAAAAACATCCCGTCTGTCTTTCCAGTCCTCCTCCAGCATCCCGCCCTACAGCAGCCACAGCGCCACCTCCAGGCAGACCCCCGGCAGCATTTGGAGCTCCGCCCGTACCCTCCCGACCTGGAGATCCCACACCTGGTGCTGTTCCTCTTGTCCCCTCCAGACCGGCCCGCGTGCCTCCTGCTCTGCCGCCCGGGATCCCAAGGTAAGATCAAACACACACACACAGACGCACACACACACTGAAGTTGTATCTCTGACTGCAGGTGACGGGTTGTTCTATAAATTCTTGCTTCTGGTGGTTTGGGATCTTTGTTGCTTGACCCTCTGACGATGTTTTTCCTCACATGTCGTCCTCCCCCCCTCTCCCCCGTCCCCTCTCCCCCCCTCTCTTCCTGCAGCAGAAGACCTCCACACAGACCCACTGTCATTCGCCCTTCAGAGCCCTCCTTGCTTGACTAGAAAGAGATGACTTTACACTTTTATAATTCTTTGTCTCCTGTAACTGATGATCGTCTGCTGTTTCAGTAACTCTGACTTTATGTGCAGTTAGCTTTTTTTAACCAAGTGTACCATGAAATATTCTGCTTTCTGATAAAGGGATTCTTTGGATGATTTTATTGACTTACAGGTAAAGAATCAGCCAGATAGAGTTTGACTGATTCCATTTGAAAGTGTCTTAATGTATGCTTCATGACTTTTGATATAATCTTCTTTAACGAGCTGTAGACATGCTAACATTGAAACCCTTAAAGCTCGCTGTGGAAGACAATAAATCATCTCATAAAATGAGAACCCTATTGTTCTTACATTCTGTGCCTCAAGTTCAACAAGATGTTTTCAAGTTATTTCAAGAGAATAATCAAGAGTTCCTATCCGACTACTTTCCTAATTAATTAAACTGACTCGTCTAAAGGGAAGCAAACAGTCAACTGAGCTCAACTTGTAATGTGACTCATGTTAGCAGAGCTAGGAGCTGCAGCCTTCAGTCGTCCTGCAGGTTAACCCGTCTGTACTCGTTCCCTGCATCTCAGTTCTCTTCAATGCTGTCTCCTCGGTCCTCGCTCCTCAGCCGAACCGGAAGTAGTTTTAGACCCGCCACGTTAAGGATCGTCCCAAAGCTCTTGTAACTGAACGGAGGAGAGAGGAGAGAGATCTGAGGAGCGATGACCGAGGACACACCAGAGCTGACTTTGCAGAAGTCTTTTTACTGACAGGCACGCCCCCTTATCGAATATCACTCATTGATTGGACGCTGCAGCGGATCAAACTTCAATGAAACTTGTCAACATGAGCGGAGTTAAATAACGGAGAAAAGACAGACATTAAAAAGAAGCTAAACGGACTGTGATGGCTTCAAACAATAATCAGTTAGGTAAGCCATTGCTGAGCGGGTTTAACACGCTATCAAATAAAAATAAAAGGCAGCCGCGGATCCAAAGTCAACTTAGAAACTACATTTATTTAAAAAAAAATTTCAGCAAAAAATAAACTTAATAAAATAAACAAATCAGATCGCTATATCATGTATATCCTAAGCGGCCCTTTGCAGTCAAAAAACTGTTCCGCTTCCCCACTCTCACTCCCCCCCAGGTGTCCTTAATCAACTTAAAGTACACTGCAGGTACGCCGCGGCTCCGCCCCAAAGAGGGAGAAATAATGCACACATACCCCCAAATCAATAAACAAAATGTAAAACCAAAATAAGCCAGAATAAACAATAATATAAACAAGTAATTCTAAATTCATTAATGTTTGGCTCTTTTCTATTTTTTAACTGTAAATAATTCATATGGCCATTTAGCCACAACACGGACCGTCGGACATTTAAACAGACTGTAAACATCTGTCAGTATGTAAAGAGTCTGTGATGAGCTGGGATTAAAAAAAAGTGTCTGACATGAGGAGCAACAACGAAATATGAAGCATAAGTTCTATAAAATCATTATAATGGAGAGTAGACCGATCTCTCCCGACTTTATATTTGATTTGTTTTTGATTCACTGTCAAACAAAAAGTCTGTTAGTATGAAGTGTTAAAATCAAATGATCATAAACGATTCCTTCATAACTATAACAGGTAGGTTATATTTCTTTTCATGATCAGTCAGACTGTCCGTTTTAATTTATTATATTGAGAATGAACGGCTGACAGCGTGGGAGTTTATTTGTTTGTGTATTTTATTAGAATTAATACAGTTCATATTTGTGCGGACATAAACAGCTCATCATCACAAACGGACATCGCTACAGAGGAAAGGACGTGTCATGTCTCTTAAAACATATCTCCTCATTTCCTCTCTCCTCTGCTTCGTTTCCTTGCGTCTCTTTTATTAAAATAAAAAGAAAGAATAAAACCCTGAAAGTATCTCTTCTGATACTGCAGAAGAGGCAAAAGAGTTCAATGGTAAGTTATTTCAGAAACACATTACTAAAAGAAAAATACTATCTATCTCTCTTTTAAGCCTGTTTGAATGAACCATGAATTACACATCTAATGATTGACAGAGACACATTTTGAATTTGATTTTAAAGCTAGGAAGCAGAGTTATCCTGAGGGATCCTAGTCCTTTGAGGGACTCTAGTCACTTACGCAACATTTGGGTGTGTTGTCTTATTTATTTTCAGTACTATAGTTCAACACACTAGGATAAGCACCTCTTGCTTGACCTGAATAATTTTTTATTATTGTAAAAAAGGAAATGTTTGATTCATGGAAGAAGTCAAAACTGGATTCAGAAATATTTTCCTTGCGTCTGTTTGTTTTTCAAAGATTGGATTCAGTTTGGTTTTGGTTAACCCTTTGGTGACCTTGATGCAGTCCAGACCTGTCAGTCAAATGAACACGTCTCCTGTTCCACCGTCCAGCCTTGATGTACCTAGTTAGGTTACCATGGTAACACTGGTTACATACAATACAGATAGTGTTACTTTGCCTCTACAGTTCTGTCCCCTCTCACTCATGTTTGTTACATTGAAATGATTCATTGATCCAAACCGACCCTAACCCTGATCACTGTCACACAGGCGACCTCCACAAGGCCCATCACGCCCAAACCGCTGCTGAATCCAGCTGAGCTCTCGGACTGTCGCCCCATCAGGTGCACTTGCCAGTCGACGTTCAGGAGGAGTTTTTGTGTGATCCAGATCTGTTTCATTATATAAGGGAGGAGTTAACTGAATGATTTATTATTCATATGAATCTAAAGTCAGACCACATGGTAAAAGGTCTTCTTCGTTCAAACAAACCATTTCATTTCTTTCCTTTACTTGAATAATTAGTCTCACCCCACATTCAGGGTTTGACATGATTCTGCCATCTGTCCGGGTGACATCAGTAGAACTTAAGATTCTGAGTTCTGCAGGATTGAATCATAAATATTCATTAGACATCTGTGTGTCTCTAGTCTGTATTCTACAAACACACATTAAACCAAGTTTCTGTGTAAAACATCTGTTTATTAATATCACTGACCCAATCCCAATCTCTTTACATATGTAAGTTCATCATACCAGTTGTTTAAAACTTGACTGTTAATTTGATTTTTACTATTGAAAAGTACCGAAGCTTTAAGAAAAGTTAAAGGTCATGTTCTTTAAAATCCTCTTCTCCATGTTCCTCTAACTCTAACATGTGTCTCTAGTCTGTCTACAAACCCCCCAATGATGAGAAAAGTCCATCCTCTTTGTCTTTTTCCTGCTACACTTTTCAGAAAATGTGTGCTCAAACAGGCCGTTTGGAGATTTTCCCTTCATGACATCACAAAGGGCAGTAACCCCTCCCCCAGGTGGGTGACACTCCAACAGCTAGGGGTTTGTTCTGCCCTCTGAGTCTGCCTTCTCACCGTAAACAATCGGGCACGGAGCGAGAAAGCCTGAGACACCCAAACCCTTCCAGAGAAGAGCGTGGTCAGACACAGCTCATTTACACAGAAACAGCCTGTTCTGAGCAGGGCTGAAACAGAGGGGGTTATAGGCATGATCAAATACAGGATCAGAGTGGATTTAGAACAAGAAACTTCACAGACATGTTATGAGGAGCTCTGAGACTTATTTAAAGAACCTCATGTGACCTTTGAATCTTCAGCCATGTTTTAACCAAAAGCTGCCTTGAGCCAAAGAGAGATCACTTTTATCAAGAATGGTATCAAAGTCTAAATATCTGATATCGTGAAAACCTTACGTACATATAAAAAAGCAGGTTTGCTCATCTAGATCAATGTTTCTGAAGGGGCGGAGCCATACATTCGACAGACAGCTCAGGATGAACGCTGACCCAAAGTTTCATTATTATTCAACTTTAAAGTCTCATTCTGTTCATGTCAGCGTGGACGTAAACCGGCACATAAAGAGAAATCAGTAACTTCAAAATCACTAAGAAACAAAAAAAAACTAATAAAAAGGAGTGATACTAATCTGTGAGCAAGAAGAGATGCAGCATCAACAAAGACAATCTGTGGATCACCTCCACCTTCATCCACCTTTAACCACCTTCATCTTCATCCTGAGGAAAGAAATACTCTAAAAAGTCCTCTAGTTCCTGGATCTGCAGAAGCCTTCCACATATCCTGCTGTGAGAATAAGGAGCTTTTTATAACAGTGTTGGTTTGTGGTGAGAGTCGACATCATGGTCCTCCTCGCCGTCCTGTTGTAATGTCATGGTCCTCCTCGCCGTCTTGTTGTGATGTCATGGTCCTCCTCACCACCCTGTTGTAATGTCATGGTCTTCCTCGCCGTCTCTCTATGTGCAGACTCTCCTCCTGTCGTCAAACAGTTTACGGACGGTGAAGACCTGAGAACAAACACAGTTGATAGATTTCACATTTTATGATGTCATCCCACCGTTCTTCATGAGATGAGCCCAGTGATGGTTTGGTAAAGAGGACGCTGCCCCTACTGGTCATAACGAGAACGACAGAGCTTCACTGAAGTTATTACTGCAGTTCTAAAAAGTGTTGATCAGACACTTGTCTTGAAAGTAGTAACAAGACGAGCGAGGACTTTACCTGAGTGAGGGCCACACACAGCAGAACCAGCACGCTGGCACAGGACCAGAACGAGACCCTCCACAGGTTGTCCTCCAGGAGGTTTCTGTCCCGAGCCTCAAAAGCCCGCAGCACCGTCTGCATCTGCCGGCTGCGCTCCAAGCGTCTGTGCAGAGAATCCATGGACTCCTGAAACATGAGGAGTGTTGAGCAGGATGAAAAACAAGATGGCCATTAACACTTTTAGTGATGTTCCTGACTCCAGGGGTACATCCCAGTTCCCTTAATTGCATCCAAGTGTCCTCCACTTGCATCTTAGTCCCTCCCACCAGAGATGCATGGAGAGACGCAAGGAAACGAAGTAGAGGAGAGAGGAAATGAGGAGATATGTTTTAAGAGACATGGCACGTCCTTTCCTCTTTAGCGTCACGTGAAGCGACGTCCGTTTGTGATGATGACATCAGCTGATCAGTCGACTTAAACAGCTGTTTATGTCCGCACAAATATGAACTGTATTAATTCTAATAAAATACACAAACAAATAAACTCCCACGCTGTCAGCCGTTCATTCTCAATATAATAAATTAAAACGGACAGTCTGACTGATCATGAAAAGAAATATAACCTACCTGTTATAGTTATGAAGGAATCGTTTATGATCATTTGATTTTAACACTTCATACTAACAGACTTTTTGTTTGACAGTGAATCAAAAACAAATCAAATATAAAGTCGGGAGAGATCGGTCTATTCTCCATTATATTGATTTTATAGAACGTATGCTTCATATTTCGTTGTTGCTCCTCATGTCAGACACTTTTTTTTAATCCCAGCTCATCACAGACTCTTTACATACTGACAGATGTTTACAGTCTGTTTAAATGTCCGACGGTCCGTTTAGCTTCTTTTTAATGTCTGTCTTTTCTCCGTTATTTAACTCCGCTCATGTTGACAAGTTTCATTGAAGTTTGATCCGCTGCAGCGTCCAATCAATCAATCATCGCTCCTCAGATCTCTCTCCTCTCTCCTCCGTTCAGTTACAAGAGCTTTGGGGCGATCCTTAACATGGCGGGTCTAAAACTACTTCCGGTTCGGCTGAGGAGCGAGGACCGAGGAGACAGCATTGAAGAGAACTGAGATGCAGGGCAGGTCTGTGTCCACCTGCCGTTTATTTCTGAGTGCCAGGAAGTATAAAAAATTAAGTAAAAACAGGAAACAGGAAGTGGGGTTAGGTGTAAATAAATCAGGAAGTTGTTTTTTTTTCAGCTCACTGATTGTTAATGAAGGAGCTCCGACAGAGAGCGCTAACATAGACCTGACCACACAAACACTTCATTTCAAGGTTTGTCTTTAACCTTTCTGATTCTAAAGAGTTCTCTTTACAGCTGATTGAAACTTTTACAAACTATTCCTCATGATGTTGATGTGGTGAATGTGGCTCACATGACGTGTAGTGAGATATTTACACGACAAAGGTTTAGGGGTTGGTTAACAGATTCACGAGCTATGATTGAGTTTTTACTCATTATTTGAAGGACTTTTCTAACAATCATCTCACCCGAATGTCGTCGAGCTTGTACTCCAGAAGGCTTCCATCGGGCTCATCGAGTCCTGCCCACTCGTCGTCTCCTCCCACATCTCCTCCCTGACCTTCAATGATGATCTCAAAGAACACTGTCTTCTCCGAGAAGCGACTGAAGCTGTTGTCGAAGCAGATCTCATAGTCCCCCGCCTCCGTCGGCTCCACCCTGGAATGACAGGAAGTAAGTCCAAAGATAAACAGACTGTTTCAACACCACTGGCACCAGAAAATGAGATGAGGGCACAGCGAGGTGGAACTTACACGTGGACTCCATCGGAGCGCCGTGACTCCATGACGATCTGGATGCCTTCTGGAGTGAGGATGGTAAAGTCTACATCCATACCTGCACCTGCTATCACCTGGATGTACACACACAAAGACACACACTTAGCATTACACTAACACATCATACTCCAAAGTCAACTGTTTTAAAGGCCATTACTGGATGGTGACAGTATACAGATACAGGCTGCAATGATGATATGTAAAGAGACGTGTCTGAACAAACAGGTAGCAGATTTATGGTGGGCGTTAAAATCTTGGCAAACAGATCATCACCAGCAAAACATCCCCAGGAGAGATAACAAGGAGCGCCGCCTACTGTCGTCTGATTGCCTAACCTGGTAACCCGACCCTGCGAACGTCACTACACTCTACAAACACATCTAAGTATTAGATAAAAGGATTTATCATCGCTGTAATATCCTGAAGAAATATAATGTCTTCAACTTTGATCATTTCCTGTTTTACTCTGATACCTGCCTGATGTTTGAAATTATTGATAATCTTGCACCCCCTCCCCTTAAAGAATGCCTGACCCATCTCAGCTGTGGCAGAGCTGGAGGGACTCGAGCATCCACCAGGGGGAGCCGGGTGTCACAGTTCTGAAGGACAATCAGCCTTTTCAATTGCAGCAGTGAGGAAGGTGAACTCTAAACCTACAGACATTAGAAACTAAAACAAAGCTGAAGTTCTGAAAACTCTAATCACTAAAGTTTGTCCTGCACATCATGCTCGTCTACTTTTTATACCGATGGACATTTTTTTATTAATTTACTGTGAAGTGTAATCTTACAGGTGGACTTATTATATTACATATTCTGTTATTCTAGATCATGTACTTCCTGCTATTATTTGTTTACCTGCCCTGGGACAACACATGCTAATAAGCTATTCGCTTACTCCGGTGCAATTATATGCAATTGTGCGCTGCCCCTGTAAAACTAAACAACAAATAAATGTCTTTTAAAAAGATACCTGATACTCTGATGTCACAGTTACCTGATACTCTGATGTCACAGTTACCTGATACTCTGATGTCACAGTTACCTGATACTCTGATGTCACAGTTACCTGATACTCTGATGTCACAGTTACCTGCTATTCTGACGTCACAGTTACCTGATACTCTGATGTCACAGTTACCTGAACTCTGATGTCACAGTTTCCTGATACTCTGACGTCACAGTTACCTGATACTCTGACGTCACAGTTACCTGATACTCAGACGTCACAGTTACCTGATACTCTGATGTCACAGTTACCGGCTATTCTGACGTCACAGTTTCCTGATACTCTGATTTTACAGTTACCTGAAACTCTGATGTCACAGTTACCTGATACTCTGACGTCACATGGTTACCTGGTATTCGACCTCCATCGTCCCGTTCTTCGTCGCTGTCTGGTAGAAACACCCGGATGTTCCGGCAGGCAGCAGAAACGTAAACTCGGTGTCGAGGCTTTGACCGAAACTCGATACAAACTCCAAACAGCCCACAAATAGCAGCACGAGCACCAGCAGTCTACTTGTGCGTCCACCTGTGCTCCGGAGCAGCGCCATGATGAAGACAAACACGAACAGTCGGCTATCTAAGTTCAGCCATCTTCTCTGCATCCCTCTTCCGCTTCACAACTTTACCGCGCTGTGATTGGATGATGGCCCGGCAACGAGGAAACGCAGCAGACCAATCAGAGAAGGAAGAGTAGCAGTGTTTCTCCAATCACTGTATGGTGCGTTCATGTGGTATCGGACAAAACAGGAAAAACAGATTTTCGAGTTGTAAAATGAAATATGAACATCTGCTCAAGTCGAAACAACAACTCGGAAAGTCTTGACGTCATATACGTCATCACATGGGAGGCAAAATATGTTTCGCTAATGTTAAGAAACTTTTTGTGAATTCACAAATTGCACAAATATATTGCTCTAATATAACTCATTTTTTTGTACTTATTCGAACATTCAGACTTTCCAAACTGAAATCATGTGAACACACTGAAGTCAGATGAACGAGTTCACAAGCCGGACGAGGAGGCCAACCGAGGAGCACCTGAATGCAGCAGAAGAGCGTGACAAGCGTGACATCGTGACAGCGCGACATCAATACCTATAATACCTATAAGACCACAAGAGGGAGCCAGAGTTCAAGTCCGTGAATGACTGCATGTCAGGGTCCTCTTGTGAGTGAAGAAAGTGAAGAATTTCCGCATGTAGAATATGTCATAAAATATACCTCCCTCCCACACACACACACACACACACACACACACACACACACACACAAAACATCAAAGAAAAAGAAGTACAGATTCAGCAGAAACTTTTCAAAGGTTTGGGCCGTCAGCGTTCACACGTTGATCCCTACGTGATAAAGGTCCAAAATGAACGATTATTTCCTTCATCATGTGGTTTTTGTCCCTTTCTGAGGGAACCTTTGAATGGCTTGTTCCACTTTCAGAACAGAATATTATTAATATCTCATCAGAATTAGTTGATCACTTCCTGAGCTGTAGGCACAGTAACTTCAGTCTGACGCAAATGACAGGAGATGTAATCCGGTTCAAAACGTTTAATAAAGAAAAATAAAACTCAAATTACAGTCCGTCACACAGTAGAAAAACTATATGCTCCCGTGCCTGCCGCAGCTCAAAGCATCAATCAACTGCGCACATGACTCACCAAATTAAAGGTCCAATATGCAAATTTTATCAGGGAGGGAGCATAAATGATATTAACCAACATGAGTTTGTTTTTAAATCTTTTAACATTGTTTCCCTGGTATGCACATGAAATAACATGAAATTATAAATGATGCATCATATTTTAAATTAACTTAAATTCTCATCTTGTTAGAGAGGAGGTAACAATGAGAGGAAGCACAATGCACAATGGAAATCTATGACCATCACAGATTGTATCAGATATTCCTGAAGTGGAATTAGAGTAGTGGGACGCTGGGAGCAATACAACTCAGGCCAAACCAGAAGACCTGTGTGAGGGGAAGAAAGAGGGGAAGCCATAGACTCATAGTGGTGCAACTCTTAAACCAAGCGGTGACTGTAAGAATGGGAGGAAGGCATTCAGAAGAGGAAGCTTTCAGGTAATCAGGGTGTCACTTGAGCTGACGCTTTCTTCACTTTGTTCAGTCCTCTTTCATCATCTTCAATCAATGCAGGTCATCAATCTCAAGTTCCTCAAAACAGAAGAAAAGACAAACGTTGCTCTCCTGACAGGGCGCTTTGTGAGGGACAGAGTGACAGAGCTTACAAGTGAGAGTGACACTAACCAGTGTGTGTGAATCTGTGTGTGATAGTTCAAAGCTGCGGGTGATAGTACAAAGCAGCGGGTGATAGTACAAAGCTGCGGGTGATAGTTCAAAGCAGTGGGTGATGGTGCTGTGGGTGAAGTCTTAAGTGCAAAATGATCAGCTTGGCTCAAAGTCAAACCCGGCCTCCATAAACACTTTTCTGTTTCGTCCTTTTGACATCACACTGCAGGACTCAACAAGATGAAAAAAATGTTCCAAATGCACAGCTGCTAAACATGAAACAGTTTTACATGATTATTAGAAAACAGTAGCAGGCTAAATACTCAAACAGAACATTGTGATGAATGTAAAAAAGGAAGTGTCAGCTGAGGGATGATAAGTGTCTTTAGAAGTGTTAGGGAGTGTCCCAACCACACACATGTACACACACACTCACATACACACACATACACACACACACACGCACATGTACACACACATACACAAACACACATGCACATGTACACACACACACACGCACACACACACAAACACACACATACACACACACATACGCACACACGCGCGCACACACACACACACACACACACACACACTACTCACTCTCTCTCTTTCTGTCTCTCTGTTTTGCCTCTTCCTCTAGTCATCTTCATTTCCTCCTTACATGCTCGTAAAGTAATATCAGAGAGAGCAGACGTGTAGCTGAGAGAGTTGAGGGAGGACAGATCTGATGTCTTTAAAGGTGAGACACAACTCAGAAAATGTTTTCACACTTATTTCATGTTTCTCTGCGTTTGGTTGTTTGGTTGAGCTGCCACAAAACATCCAAGATAACCTTTCTAAAATTCTTACAACACTTTAAAAGTTTCACTTCACTTTTGGACCTCTTAGAGCTAATGATCTGCGTGTGTGTGTGTATGGGTGTGTGTACCTGTCTGTGTGTGTATGTATGTGTGTGTGTGTATGTGTGTGTGTACCTGTCTGTGTGTGTGTGTCCGGGGGGGGGGGGGGGGGGGGGTTAGGGGCATCCTGCATGCCTTGTACCTGTCAGATCTCCTGAGGTCACATGTGTCACGTCTGTCTCTCTGATTTTTCTGTGGTATGTTTTTAATGTCTCCCAGTCTGTGTCTCTTTCAGTGTTTCTTCATCGCCCCTTAACGATCGGCCCTAACGTCCCAGGTGGAGCGGCACCAGGTGGGATGGCAGAAGCCTGTGTGGCTTCAAGGCCTCAGGTGTTTGTGGTGGACAGCCAGGCCAGCTACGTCTCGGCACCTGTGGGGAAGAAGCGGAGGTGGGAGAAAGTGGGCCAGAAGTGTCTGCTCATGCTATTGGGACTCGTCGTGTTTGGACTTGTTGTTCAGGGCTGTTTAATCCACAATCTCTACCAAAAAACAGAGGTGAGCCTGTCGTCTACATGAATGTGTGTGTGTAGAAGAAAAGAAACCTCAGCATGTAAATTGGAAACTCCTGAAGCTGAGAATTCCCCTTTCTTTCTCTTCGTCATGACACATTAAACATGTTAATATGTGGTTTAAACTACAAGTCAGTCAGGACGACTGTGAGTTTTACTTCCTTTTTCTATTCTACTCTCTCTCTGTCTCTCTCTCTGTCTCTCTGCAAAAATCCTGCAGTTCCTTGAGTGTCCACTAGAGGCTGGCTGCAGAAGCACAGGAAGTCACATAAACCCTTTTCACACATACGGAAATCTGAAACACTCCAGAGATTAGTCTACCCGGAGGGTCTTTAGGCTATGTGTGAATGCAAACAGCCGCATTTTTCGCGTGGACTTTACCTGGAGTTTATCCGGCCAGACCCCTTCCGCGTTGTTTATTTACGTCACGTCTTACGTCTCACGTCCCCCTCCCCTCTGACAGGGAAAGTCCAACGCTTTGAGGAGCATATGTGAACGGCTAGGTCGGGAGAATCTCCGGAGAAGTCCTCCTGTAAATATCCAGATATTATCCGGAGTGCATCTGTGAAAACGGCTTTCCACACCCATTCTAAAAAGCCTGTTTTTACAGCAGAGATTAACATGTTTACAGCCTGGTTCAAAAAACCAAATAAGTCTGATGAGCTCATGTCTCGATCCGCACACACTTCACGGGGGGGTGAATGTTTTGATGACTCATCAGTTTTGATTTGATGAAGGATAAGAGTTATTCACTATAAGGCTTGTAGCTGTTTGTTAGCAGGCTGAAGTCCGCCTCTTTGCCTGTTTCTAGCTTGAACAGAAGTTACAATAGTGTTTGCAACATGACCAACGCCATCATTGGGTACAAAATCCCCGGGTAACCTTGGTAACCAGTACGACAATGTTGTTTTCAGAGAACAGTTTTTACTGATGTTACCTTCCCTGGTCCCTGATTCGTCTTGGATCTGCCACGACTGAAAGAAATCCTGTGTGGACCAAACAGCCACATCATAAACACAATGTGAGCTGAAGGATTCCTCGCTCAAGTTAACGCCACAATGTTTCTCTCAGCGTGATTTCAAATGTAGACAAACTGTTTTTAGTTCAAAGCAAATGGTTTTTATTTGACAGTGCAGCTTTAATTCATGATATATAACTTCCTGTGTACTTGTGAGTTCTTGCACACTGAATGCTCCCTGGTTTCTCGTTCCTCTCCCTGCAGGCCTTCTCTCTCTGCAGGTCTCATCCTCTCTGCCAGAACCTGTCAGACCCCGGATCATACCCCCCATCATCCGGCCTGCAGGTAAGGATGAGAGTCATGGACTTACACTAAGACACTGCCTGATACGTGCTGGACCTTAAAGTCTCGTTTGTGTTTCAGGACGGCATCATACTGAGTCGAGTGGGATCTGAAGGTACTTACATGTGAATACACATGAATCTTAAAGCAAAGCTCCAGTGAGGAGATCTCTGAAACACACTGACGCTTTAATACGAGTGACCCCTCAGTGCAGAAGCAGAAAGATAGAAGAATACAGACATGAGTCTGCATGTTAATGAAGAATAAGAAAGATTATTAAAGTTGACAGCTCAGAGAGTGAAAGACAATAAGCAACATGAACAGAGATCAGCTCTAGATTCTGAATCTTACACCGTTTAGAGGGAGGAGTTATAAGGTTTGATGTCCACGGCCAGGGATGACCTCCTGTGTAGGGGGCGGGATGACACGCAGCTTAGACAGCGCCCTCCTCTCTGACATGGCCGCAGCAGTTCAACGCAACATTTACACATCAACAGGAAAAAATCAGCAACCAAATGAGAGATAGCACTTTGTCCACAGGGGCGCCAAAATCAACCCAGAGCAGGAGCTTTAATTGCAGATACCCCACGATTTACGAGTTGAAAGATATTTGTAGACCTTCACCCATCAAAAGATGTAGAAATCTTATAAATCCACATGAATCTTTATCTGCTGATTGACTTTTGGAACAGCGTCCAATCAGATTTCATCGATGGATCAAACGGAGGAGGTACAGCAGAGACCCTTCGCTCACTTGACGGGTGAGAGCTCTCGTCACACTTGAAGACACGATTCAGTCTTTTCTTCCTCTTATTGCTCGTCTTTGTTCCAGGATCCAGTAAGACCGTAGACCAGCACCATGTGGTGCAGTGGATGACGAATGTTGGGGAAACCATCACCCACAAAATGGGCTACGAAGACGGTCGGTTGCTGGTGGAGGAGGAAGGTTTCTACTACCTTTACTCCAAAGTGACCATCGGTGCTGAAGAAGACTGTTTGTTCTTCCAGCACGAAGTCCTGAAAGACATCAAAGCGTACGGAAAACCCATCCAACTAATGAAGTCCAAAAGGTTGGTCAGGGTTCTTGTTACTCATTGGTATTAGCATAGCATAGCATTTCTTCATTAAGCTAACTGACTTTGTGACTGGTTCCCGTAGAGTCCGATGCTGGACTCACAGATTTTCAGAGGACACATCTCCGAGTGGGGAGGAGTCGTGGAACAGCTTCCTGGCGGGGATCTTTCACCTGCAGAGTGGAGACAAAGTTTACGTCAAACTGGACAGCAAGAAGAAGGAGCCCCTGGCCCCCGGGGACAACCTGATGGGGGCCTTTATGATATACCCCTGTGGTGTAACTACTCCGTGCCCGACTCAGAGGCCACATTGACACAAAACGTTTGTTTCTTCAGCAATAACTATAAAGTGACCTCATGCAAACACAAAGACCTGGGGGGGAGGGGGGTGTACCTTACAGGCGTGTATATGGTTTGTATTTATTCTGTTTACATAAAATGTGTGTGTTATCAAAATTTATGAGAATAAGAGATTTATTAACACCTGCTGTTTGGAGACAACGAGACACACAACACACACACACACACACACACACACACACACACACACACACACACACACACACACACACACACACACACACACACACACAATACAACAACAAATGGAAACTCCTTTCAGTCTGTAAGAGGATAGAAATGGATAAATCAGTGTAACAGAAACACAAAGAACAGCTTGTTTTCATCTCAATACATTGCAGTGTTTTGTTCACCTCTGGGTTACTATACACTGACACTGTCATACAGCACTACAATTTCCCCTGAGCTTCCTGCATCCTATTTGACTCAATGTGAGGAGCAACAAGATATTGAACACCTGTACTGGCTATGTACTGCTTATCTCATCTTTCCATAGATGATAGGCTAACTGATGGAGATGTAAACTGTCATTATTGTGACACTAATGACTCACAGATCATTAATTCATTGGCTGCACTTCCACCAACCTCACTTTCTTTAACATAGTATTATCAAGTATACAATGATCCAGCAGGTCTCAGTTGGAGCTGGGGTGGTCGTGTGAAGATATCACCATGAAGCTGTTGGGCCTCAGCCATGTGTGCTGGACAAAGGACTCAGGCCTGCATCGCAGTTCTCAGGCCTGACTAGAGTTGTTTTGGAGGGAACTATACAAAGGAGTCTTAGCCCAGCACCCCCCAACAGCAACTAACAAATAGGTGTGAAAAGTAGGGATGTGGGGGGTTTCTGAATTCTCTATCCTCATTGGAGGAGGCCTGAGGTTAACCCACAGGCAGTTCCAGTTTTTAAAATCAATCGCCAGGCATTGCTCAATTTTGGGCGCAATCAGATGCTATCAGGTTTGAGCAAAAAGAGTTTCCTTCCTTTAATTTTTCGTAAGACATCATTGAACGCAACTGGTAAGGAGCGCTGAAGAAAGCCCACTGACCCCTGAATCCATAAGGACACATAAAGAACTCGACTCCTGCAACCAGAAGACCCTAGAGCAGTGCTCTGGTCGATGATCTGAATCCTGCTACCCTCCTCCTACATCAGCCACGAAGGAAACCTGCCTGAATCTGTGGATTTAATATTCAACAGATTGAAGATCCAACCAACTTTGCAACGATCACCAGGAGTTACCCCAAGTAAGAGCTTTGGTCTGGGCAGAAATAGTTTCAGAAATAGTTATGTTTCTTTTATAACAATTATCAGTGGTTACACTGAACAATTATCAGTGGTTACACTGATAATTGGTACTGATCTGGTATCAGTGGTTACACTGATAATTGTGCATCATTGTTGACGAGACATCACATTCTGTTTATTATCTGTTGTAAGCTGCTGCATTTGTTTTATTGTGATGAACCGCTGTGTTCGCCTTCTTTACCTTCAGGCAACGGCTTTCACAATCAGAAAGACCAGTGTACCCGCTGTTGAATCAAAGTCCGGCCACTGTCTTTCTGGTGTTTAAGTAACAGTTACTGAACTCAGCTCAGAGAGCTCAAACTATTTCCTTTGTTGTCCACCATTTTGTACCCATGTGACGAAGCCACATGGTGCATTGTCTCTCTCCACCATCTTGTTTTCTCTCTCTCTCTCTCCCTCATCCACACACACACACACACACACACACACACACACACACACACACACACGCACATACACACACACACACACACACACAACTACACTTTTACACCTCATTCACAAGTTTTGCTTGATAATGTTTGATTTCTTAGATTAGTTTGTATAGTTATTTGTTTGATTGAGTTTCATTGATTTTGGATTGATGTTGCTTTGTTTAAATAAATTCTGTTATAATTTAAGAGAGCAGTTGTTTGTGATTACTGGTGTATTTGCATTGTGATATAAGCTGGGTGCGAGGGCTTTGTGTACGGATTTCACTCCTTCAATTTATTAAATATAGTTACTAATTATTAATAATATTAGTAATTAAGTAACTAATTTATTTATTTGTGATATTTTGGTTATATTTCCCTGATTTCAGGGTGGTGCCCCCAAGTTGATTAAACATAGTTTAATGATATTGTTATTTATATTAATAATAGTTAAATATAATTATTAAAGAATATAACCAAAGTTGACTAGATAAAACCCCAACAAAGCCATACAACTGAGCACATTAAGTCCCTGTCTCCTGCAGCAGGACAACATCCTTAACCTCCTGACTGGTGTCCCTCACTGCAGTAGACCACAGGAATCTGCTCTGCTGGTAGATCAGACCACAGCAGCCGTCCCACCATGGTCCCTTGTGACTTTCTGCAAACACAATCGCAACAGATAGATGAGTGGGCAGTTCTCTGAAGGTATCAAGGAGTCACAGCTAGTGTGCTTAATGTACCACCTACAGTAAGCACAGACTGCTACTACTCCGATGTAGACCTCTTCTCTTCCTCTGACCATACTGCTCATATCTCAGATATCAGCACTAACACTGTCCCTGCTCTGCACCGTATATGAACTATGATGCAGGATGTGAACTCACCTGGTAACACTTCTATTTGTATCGTACATGCAGGTTTCTTAATAATAAGTGTGCTGCACGTTTTTGCACTGTTGTGACTAACATTATAGTGTGTATGCTGTACAGACTTTTAATATTGTCTGCTTCTGATGTTGGACCCCTGCTGAGGCGGCAGTAGCTCAGTCTGTAGGGACTTGGGTTGGGAACCGGAGGGTCGCCAGTTCAAGTGCAAGTGCATGTCCACAGGATCCTGTTTGTGCATGTGTATATTTCAGCCTATGTGTGTGTTGCATGATTAACAGAGTGTAAAAACAGAATTTCCCCTTGCAGGGATTGCTGAAAGTAAAATCTTAAATCTCTCCTCTCAAACACACAAACAGGCTGTGTGTACGTGTGTGTGAGTCTGTATGCAGGATGTGGTCGAGGAGGACGCACTAAGGGGAGGATGGAGTAGGTGCTAAGGTCGGTGTGGCTGACTCAGCTCTTCTTGCAGCGCTCAACGGAAATTTTCACTTTGTCATCATGTCTTCTTGTCTCTCGTCACCGTGTCTCGTTGTTTCTCAATGTCTCTCGTTGTCACCGTGTCTCGTTGTCTCTCGTCACATCTCTCATTGTTTCTCGTTGTCTCATTGTCACCGTGTCTCGTTGTCACCGTGTCTCGTTGTCACTGTGTCTCGTTGTCTCTCATTGTCGAGTGGAAACGAAGATGTGCGAATCACAAAGCAGCTCGGAAAACGAGAGTTCTTCAGCAAGGAGGGAAAATTGTCATGGAATGCATGTGGGGAAAAGAAAGATGAATAGTAAAGCATGAAGAGTTTGAAGTGTGAGGACAGGTTGTCATGGAGACGGCTTGACTGACAGGTAACCACAGCAACGTCTCTCGTTGTCACCGTGTCTCATTGTCACCGTGTCTCATTGTCTCTCATTGTCACCATATCTCGTTGTCTCTCATTGTCGAGTGGAAACGAAGATGTGCGAATCACAAAGCAGCTCGGAAAACGAGAGTTCTTCAGCAAGGAGGGAAAATTGTCATGGAATGCATGTGGGGAAAAGAAAGATGAATAGTAAAGCATGAAGAGTTTGAAGTGTGAGGACAGGTTGTCATGGAGACGGCTTGACTGATAAGTAACCACAGCACCGTATCGAGAGCTAAAACATTGGGGTCATTTCCTGAAACTCTGACAACATCAGTCAAACAAACACACAACAAGATGGAGGATAAAGTTCATATAGTGTTTGACTTTCTCTCCTCTCAGTTTTTGTGTTATAAAGTTCTAACCTGCTGCGTCATGAACACGACTTGATTTTCCCTTGACGTCTGCGCCGTGACTTTATGTAAGAGTGGAGCAATGCTGCTGTTTTCTTTTCTAAACCGCTCTTGAAGGTAAACAAACAGGATGTGGTGAACATGCTTCCTGTTCTTGACTGGTAACAAACTTTCCCTCACCTTCACAGTCTTAGTATATATTCCTTTTGTTCTCTTTCACACTCGTCACTCTCCACAACTCACAACAAAGCCTTGCTCTTCTTCATCGTACCACGTAATACGACCACAACAACATGACTCTTTATCGTTTCTATCTTTAATATGACCACAACATGACTCTTCATCATTTCTATCTTTAATACGACCACAACAACATGACTCTTTATCGTTTCAATCTTTAATACGACCACAACAACATGACTTTTTATCGTTTCCATCTTTAATACGACCACAGTCACAAACATTCAGTTTTAGTTTGTCCACAGGACTTACTTATTCTTACTGAACTAAATATTTTACAAATGTGGTTTCTAATCATCCTGTTCGTGTTCTCTGATATACACATAAATCATATAAATCAAACACTAACGAGCCATTTATAAAATGACAGCAGAGCTGAAGAATCACATCAGCCTCATGTTTGCACAAATGTAGTGACAGCTACATCAACATAGTTTCCATAGCAACATCATAAATAATAAATAAAGGTACATAAATAGTTTCATAAATATAACCTGTAGGAGGTATGTACATATTTCACACAGCTTGGAAAGTGCTCTTTCTTTTCATATACATATACATAAATATATTTATGTACATAAACATATATAGGTAAATAAATATATATCAGTATTTATATCTGAGGAATATTTTCGTAATAAATATCTGTTTTCCTGCAGAGCCTCGTCTTTAGGGTTCTTCTTTAGTTTGCAGAGTCCTCGTCATAGCTTTGAATCCTGCTCGAGCAGCTGCACATTTCAGACCCCTGAGACTTTTAGAGAACAGAATCTGCTGAGATCTGACTCTTGGGGGTACAAGATTGGATTTCAGAGTCCTTATGAGTCTACCAGGAACATCCCCATTCCTGAACCTTTCAGCTCCAGTTGCCAGTTTTTCAGTCCGCTCTCTGGTACGCTCATCTGAGTGTTCAGTGTCTCATCTTCTATCTGTGTTACTGTCCAGCACTTCTTGCTCACCGCCATCGAGTTCGGGAGCTTCACCTCACAGGTGAGTTTATCGGCCAC